TGTGATATTACTTAACTGTACAGACATGTATACTTTTGCTAAGGACCTGACACCATTATAAATTTTAGGTTTTTTTGAATAGTGGAGCCTTATTTTTCGCCATAGTCTTCAAATTCAATGGGGGAAAAAGCTTAACTAGATTGTATCTTTTCGTTTTCATTGTCCGATAGTATACAGGGTGGGCTTTTATTTAGAGTAGAAATATATTCTCAATTGTTATTTACACAGACTACCCTGTATATTAGCCCTAAATATGTGTTCCTTATACATCTCGTTATACATACAAATATATTCAGAACACTCCAATCAATTTTCAAATGCCTAATATTTTATCTAAATAGAACAGGTGCAAAATAATTTGAAAAATTAATAAAACTACACTACATCAACTAAATTTTTTTTAACTTGTACTTAGAGAAGTGGATACTCAAAAAAAGTCTGTTCATGGGGTGGACTATGGTTAGTCAATTTGTAGGAATAAAAATAATTATAAAATCAGCTGGGCCACTCTGGTAACATATTGTCACGGATTCTGCGGGTCCACTGCTCTTTGGTAACAACCACCACCTTTAATTCAACTAATTGACTCTACAAAACTCACTAATCACGTATCGCTTCTACTTGACTTCCTCTGACTTACATACTACGCGCTTCATATACAATAACATTAAATTCGAGAATCACGTAAATACTTGTTCATTTGATCACATGATGGCATATACTATTCTGCATCTTTCTACTATCAACAGTACTATGATTTCAGTCCGTAGAACCATGTCCTCTAGATCTACGTTCATACTCATAGTAAATAATCTCAATCTCTATCATCTCATCTATCCATATGCTCAACATATATCTTGCTTTCGAATTAATCTTCCTTAGGATGACTTCCTGTCCATCCAGGTCTACCCTAACGCCTGCGTGGTTCTCCTGCCCATGGAATGACGTCACGGAAACTAGAAGAATGACAGCTTGTTCCTGTTGACTGTCCTACTGCCAGCCGCCTTATGTGCGCGTGCGCGAACAGTCGTAGCACTCGGTGTATTCCTCATCGAGGGAATCTGTGGAGCGGCTGTTTGAAAGATGATATTGACCTTTTCTATCAGAAGTATCTCACCAATCCTCTTGTTCCTGTTTTTTTTTTTGTCTTCGCTCGCTGGATATTTTTTTTCGGGTTTGTTGGCGATCTATTGCCCCTTTCCTTTAACCCTTTGAGGACGGCAAAAAAAAGGTGTAGGTATATTAAAAATGAAATTTGTGAAAAATTACGTTTATTTGACATTAAAGTTTTAGAAAAATCACATTGGAAATGTACAATTATCCTGCATAATCCTACAGGACGCGGTTACTGGTACTAACCACTAGGACAAAGGAACTATTTTTTATGAAAATTTAGAAAACAGTTTCTATCCTTATTCAGGCATAGACCAACGTCGGATGTAAAACATTTCCAGATGGTTCTATGGACATCTTTTGCTGTACTACAATTACGGTGTACAAACAAATACGGTGAATAAAGAACGCAAGAAAGCCTAACTATAGCAAGAAAAGGAAATTTCCAGAAAATATTACCATAATCCTAGTGGTTACTATTGATAACCGCAACAAAAAAACCTAACTACTAAAATGGAATTACAATATTTTCACGCGACCAATAGTTTTATGACATTTATAGATATAATCTAATTACTTACCAGTCATTTTTCGAATATATATGCGCTTTCTCGGAAAATAATAGATTTTTTTGTTCACTGCGAAATTTCTACATAAAAAATCGTAAAATAATAAACGGCAACTCGGAAAATACTCACCTGATCACCCTAGCATGCATGACTATTAATTTTGTCAAGTTAGACAACCCGTAAAACAACGTGGTTATTCGCGGAAACCTCTAGGAAAGTAGCTGCATGGCTTTAGATTTGTGGTTTACAAGGATAACCACGGGTCCTCAAAGGGTTAAGTTGAAAAATGATGTGATGTAATAATTAATTTATCACTTCTAAGCTATTAGGAACTCTGTTTCAAATCATATAGGCTTCTGACAAGATTTTTTTCACGCGGATCAATTCTCAGGCCGTACTTGTAGTTAACTGGTCAAGGTCGGAGGATAAGGTATATGCATTGTTATGCAGTTGACTAGAACGATGTGTGTTTTGGAAATCTCATTGTTGCTACATCTCCATTGAAGTCTGATATTCACCAGGAGGAGAGCGAGATCTCAACTATACTCTACAGTCAGGCTTAGAATGTGCTCTTTTTCCACAGCGGTAACAGTCGATGCCCTTTTTCTAGTTCCCTATATAATGCTGAGAGCCACCAGAAGAAGAGCGATATCTCAGTCATACTCTACAGTTACGCTTTACATGTCAGCTTCTTCTGCAGCGGTAACATTCGGTGTTCCATTTACAGTTTCCTTGATTGATTCCGGTAACGACCTGTCGTATTTCATTTATCGTGTCTACAGTCGCAGGTCTTATCTTTGGTTCGGAAATCCTATAGGCCGCTCCGATTCCTAGAAGCTTTGTTAGAACTTTGCTGCTACTTGATGGCTTGGTTATAGGATCAGCCTTCTCTCGACCATTATCTTTTGAAACAGTATCGAACTCTCGCATGTACAGGGTGGCCCGTTTATTTTGTCCTATCTGGGTATATGGAAATCTAGAAACTGTTTTCACTCTCTTTCAGTCGAGGCGTTTTACCGTCTATTTGGAAATGTGCCAGATAGCAGCCCATCCCGAAGAACGGCAAGAGCGCTCTTCCTAGCAATTATCGTTCCATCTCACCTATATCCGTACTTTCGCAAGTAATGCAGGCAGTCAACCTAAAACTGGTCGAATACCTCGAAAACAATAAGCTCATCTCTGACAAACAGTATGAGTTTCGTTCTAAAAGATCGACAGGGGATCTGCTGGCGTACGTCAGTCATGTTTGGAACTCGACTCTCGAAAAGAATGGCGAATCTAGAATTGTAGCATTGGACATCTCCAAGGCTTTTGATCAAGTGTGGCGCGCAAAGGCCTCGTCAGCAAACTTCCATCGTATGGTCTTCTGAACGAATTTCTCCTGGCTGGGGATCTTTTTGGAAGGCAGGTTATTGCATGTTGTGGTCGATGGTATGTCTTCTGATACAGTGCCTATAAATGCCGGCGTTTCCCAAGACTCAATTCTGTCCTCAACACTATGTCTCATTTTTATAAATGATTTGTTAAATGTGACAAGAAACCCCATATACACCTTGGCGGTCGATGATGACCACAATATATGTAAAAATATAATACATAGGTCTATTTTAGAGAGACTGTGACAGAGACTGCACGGTTCCGCTATTTAACTGACTGACTAACATAACTGTTTTTTATATGTTTTATATAATATGTATAACGATTTTTAGCTTTAGTAAATTCGTTGCATTACCTAAGTTATCACCTTTAACAAGACACCCTAGGTCCTTGTTCTAAGTTTCGCTTGAATGACCGCGGTATATTTATGTAAGTAACTACTTTAATCAGAGAGAATTTTTTCGGCGCTGGCTCTTAGACTATGATCTTGACACCATTACCAACTGGGGCCTTAATAACCCAGTCAAATTCAATGCTTAGAAAACTCAAGCAACAGTATTCTTGAAGAAGCAATCTGCCGCCGATGATAACACAGGTTTAAGGATGTCGGCACAAACCCTTTCTATCAATCCCTCAGTATCTTTTCTTGGGGTGACCGCATCGACCAGCTTTTCTTGGCATGACCTATCATCTTCGATCGCCAAAACCGCTTCTCAAGAATTAGGTTTTTTGTTTCGTGGGAAAAACTTCTTTACTTCTGTACAACTTCTCCTTTATAAGGCTTAAATCAGACCAGGCTAGTCGTTATTCTATCGCTATTACTATGGGAGATGCTCTGACGATCTGGCCAGCCTCATTCCAGCTAGGAGAAGTTATTTAAGAACCACAAGAACCTCACAGGCATCCCATCCTTATGTGGTAAAGTTGGCTACTCTGAGGACCTTCAAATATACGGCTTCTTTTTGGTGGCGTACTGCCCACCTCGGGAACTTCCTGCCTCCTTCTTCATTTCCTGAACCCTCAAGGTATATAAATATCTCAATTTTATTTAATCTTCGATACTTTCTGAACAAAAAAACTCGGGTACAAATTATTTTCCGATGTGAAATAAAGTGGTGGGGCGAGCTTTATCTTTCAACTACACTGACTGAAAAATTTAAAACAACGTATTTGATGACTATTAATAGTATTAAGAGGTAAGCCACAAAATGGCGGCCGGACCTCTATTGTGGCCACTGTATGTAAAGGGTTATTCAGTCACTGTTCGTTTAACATTTCAGTCGCGACCCCTAGCGGTTATCCTACAAACTTGAGAATTATTTCCAGCAATTTCTCTTGGACGGTTTTATCAGTCATTTTTTCGTTTCAGAGATATAGCCGGTTACCTCCTTAGGTGGAACACCTGGTACAAACCACTGATCTGAAAAATAAAAGGATAAACAAAGAACGCTTCTAATGCTGCTAATTTACGAGGTCATAATGTAAACAACTGGGACAGCTATGAGCGTGCGCAGAAGATACATGTACTATGCGTGCGCAAAATATAGCCAATGAAAATGGAGGATATTTCAAAATTTAGAACAGTTGTAAGTAAGACACTGCGCAGGCGTTAGGCTGTTCCGTTGCACAACTGTTCGTAGAATATTGGCCCAAATTTTTGCACAAGTTTAGCCAATCAAGCCGTACGATTGTTGATCCGTTTATTTTTGAGATCAGTGGTACAAACACATACCTATATAATAAAACACATAAATTTAATCATTAACCATAAATATTATAGTATTTTCTACATCTTATGATAAGTTAAGCACTGGTCTTTTTCTATTAGGCATTTTGAACTTGATAAAATAAAACAAAGCTTAACCTTAGAACACATAGAACACTGCATTGTGTATTCCAAATAATATAAATATTAATTATATAGAATATACATTTTTGTAGGATATATCTCCAACCCCCGTACTATTACCTGGATAATACTCAGTGTACTCCTGCATCGTTAGACTGGAACAACCGTCCCCCTCCAAGAAACGAGCCTGATCCGGAAAACGCGGAAAACGACGAACGTAGAAGGGATTATAGCGGTCCCATTGAGGTTGCTAGGTTTCCAGAACATGTTCAGAAACTACATGCAGATGGCGATATTGCTTTTAGCAAGGAATATGACTCAATTCAGAATGATCCAACCAACGAAGGAAATAGTTCTGAGAACTCTCAACATCCTGACAATAAACCCAAGAATCGATATTTAAATATAATTGCTTGTAAGTCTTAGTGTGGAAACATAGTGGAGTAGTTCATCAAGCCTGGCTGTTCGACGTTCATATTGCAGCGTAAACGCCGCCGTGCATCGACACTTGCCGTTGTGGAATATGTTGGAATAGTTCACATCGCCGCGCGGTAGATCGATGTCAGTTCTTTATTATTATTTCGTCAGAGTGGTCCTTAAAATGTGCACAGATTCATGCAGACCATAATTGCACTGTTTCCAATTCCAACACATATTTTGTCCGCAACTGCTTATGGGCTGGGCAAATCCGCACCTAATGATGTGTGACCTACAACGTACGAATAACAGAGCTTGTTTCTAGCAGCTGCCTGCTGAAAAACAAATTATTTTGTTCATGGAAACGCGGCGGGGTGAGAGGATAGGTGCACTACTCCGGTATACTTGTCTTCATTTTTTAATGTGATATTATTTATTAATCGGCGTGGGTGGATGAACTACTCTACCATCTTTTCACACTTATTTCTAGATGTTACGTTTTTTTATAGCATGCTACATATATTTTAGTTGTCTTTGTAGTTCATTCAAGTTGGCTCAATTTCCTTAGTTAGTTTTTAAATTAGGTAATAATTTCAATAGTCAGAGATATATATACTAATTTAAGTATGATTTTCTTTTTAGATGATCATTCTCGGGTTCAACTACTCCCAATGCCTGGTCAGAAGGTTTCAACATACATAAATGCCAATTACATTGATGGTTTCCAAGTAAACAGGGCTTATATAGGTACCCAAGGACCCTTGCCTTCAACATTTGACTGCTTTTGGAGAATGATTTGGGAACAACGAGTTACCATTATTGTGATGATTACTAACTTAGTTGAGAGAGGTCGGGTAAGGCTTTTTTCCCAATTTTTTATGTAAGAAATTTTATAGGTATGTTTTCGTCCCATCCAATTTTTATAAGATATACAGGGTGTCCTTAGATAAACTGACACATTTTGGAGATGAATATCTCGAAAACGAGAAAAGATAACGGGATGCGGTTTGTTCTGGGAGAATAAGGATTTTTCAAAGTTTTTTTTCAAGATATTGACGAATCCTGAAATTTGGTTTTACAGACATTCGATTTTTTCAAATAAAAACATACTGCCTTATTCTTGATGAAACACCCAGTATATTTTGTCATCATCAGAAAGCGTGACTTTTTTAGTTCACAAAAATGTTTAATTTTTTTCAATTATCATGAAATTAAATCGTAAAAATTGCACTTGGTTGAAGGGCGTACTGTCGACTGGACAAAAAAAAAATGCTAAGAATTAATTTGTGTTTTAAATGCACTTATTTGTGTTTAATTCTTGTATTATTAGTTAACTATGCCCTAATTAGTTATTAAAAGTATTAAACACAAATTGATTCTAAATTTTTTTTTTGGTTAGTCGATGGTATTCCTTTCGACAAAGTGCAATTTTCACGTTGCAAGTTTAAGATAATTGAAAAAAATTATACATTTTTGTAAAGTAGAAAAATCAGGCTTTCTGACGATGACAAAAGATACGGGGTGTTTCATTGAAAATAAGGCAGTTATTTTATTTCAAAAAATCGCATGTCTGGTAAACCAAATTTCAGCAAATTTCAGGATTCGGCAATAATGTGGAAAAAAACTTTGAAAAATCCCTATTCTCACAGAACAAACCGCATCTCGTTATCTTTTCCCGTTTTCGAGATATTTACCAGCAAAATGTGTCAGTTTATCTAAGGACACCCTGTATATCACATTGGGAAACTTCCAAAAGATACGTGTTTTCTGGTAAAGATTTAAAAATAAAACGTTAAACGTTATGACCTAAGATATGTCGGCGGTTTTCTGAGCTGAGACTTTTTTCGAATTGCTTAACTTGGTTTGGCATGATACATAGAACAGAAATGTAGTTTTGAAAAGTTCCTATACTCAAGGTCCGTTTTTATTGGATTTCATTAAAGTCTTCCGATTCAAATTCCCTGGATTGATTCATGCTTAGCCTAGCCGTGTGCTGATACTAGGTGTCGACTTTTTAAGAAATATACAGGACATATTTGATACTACAAATACTCACAAACTACATTTCTATTTGAATTTTTATTTGTTTGATTGCATCATGTATTATTCGTATAAAGCTTTGAGTATCTTCATATAGAGACTTGAATACTTGCAATTGGAATTACTTGACAGTTGAACGACTGGCCGTTTGCAATTTGAATTGGAATTAAATGTGAACGTACTTTTACGGTCGTCAAGTTTGTTGTGCCCAGGGCGCCATATTGAATATTAATAAATTGACAGACGTTAAATCGCCTGATAAGCTGCATTGTAGTGACCTTTGTGTTTTTATTATTGTATATTTTTTATTATATATTTTTAATGTGTAGTTAGCTTTGGTTAGTTGTCAAGCAAGGTTGTGAAGATAAATAGTTACGTTTTTGTTTTTAATTATTATAAAAAAGTTAATAACTGAATTGCTCTTGATTCTCTCAAAGAAGTATTTTCTAGTTTCAAATATTGTGTTCAGTCAACATAATAAGTGTTGGTGGGTGACCCCGACGTGATGGGTCACCTCTTATTTTGCACACGCCAAAACAAGTGAAAATACTACTGTCCTGAAAGGGTTAAGGATCAGAGATGTTGTCAACACAATGTTTTCACTTACAATTTCGTCTATGTCATTGGTATATATTATTTGGGCATTAAGATTTTTTTTTTTTTTTGGTAATTTTGATCTCAAGGAAAACAAGTTTCTCTTTTCCAGAGTTAACTTGGACAAATTGCACTTCTGGCTTCCGCTGAATATGCAAGTTTAACATAGAGTACGTTTATAACAAGACTTTTCATCTTTCAATCGGACCGTTTGATCCAATAAAGCTGTATCCACTTGAAATTCGCGTTGTAATCCATCAAGACTAAATTTTAATCGGATAGCCCAGTAGCCCAGTGGCATTGAAATAAATTGATTCGAGCGGATGCAAACCTGCTATTACGCATGGCATGGATTGAACTAATAGTAGATATTCAATTGTGAACAAACACAAAGTTGGGCTATAATGAGGTTATGGTGTTTTTTTCACTTTTTCTCTTGATTGGTTGCGCTTTTCTTATCATAACTTAGGCCAGAGAATAATGAAAATTTTCAAATCAACCACAATTTTTTTCAGACTGATAACTGGAGATTTACGAATTTAATCGCGTACTTGTGCTTTTTCCTTCCACTACTTGATCCATAATTAATAGTGGTGATCTCCACTGAAAACTTCAGGAAGGTACAATGATCAGTAATTTGATTTGAAATGCAACTAATACAGCTCTTTGAGTAACTCGATAAAAACTTAAACATGTTTTATTGTTTTCTTGCCTCATTGTGAATAAATACTCAACGCTTATCATTTTCTATATTAATTTACCTCATCTTTTTCTCTTTCAGCGAAAATGTGACATGTATTGGCCTAAAGAAGGCTCTGAAGTATATGGTTTAATACAAGTAAGGCTAGTGAAGGAGGACGTGATGGCAACCTATACCATTCGAACCTTGGTCATACGCCATACCAGGGTAAGCATATCAGAAAATGTAAAAAAGGTTAGCTTATAACTCAAATTCTTGCCTAACTTTTAAATTTTAGCTAAAAAGGGCTAAAGATGCTTCAATGGCTGAAAAGACAGTCTATCAATATCACTACACTAACTGGCCTGATCATGGAACTCCTGACCATCCATTGCCAGTCATCAGCTTTGTTAAAAAATCTGCCGCTGCTAATCCTCCTGACAGTGGACCCATTGTAGTACATTGCAGGTATACATTTTTTGTGAAACTTTGAACATTTTGTTTTCAAATATACACTGCCGAGCATAAAATTAGGGTCACCACATAATTTGCAATTATTTTTGAAATTTTCAGTTTTTGCGAATTTTTTTTTTGGATGTACAGTTTACTAACTTTATGTGATAACTTTATCGTAGTTGCTTGAATTAAAAAACGTTCTTGTTGTTTTGTCCCAAGTTTATTAAAGATAATAATACAAATGAAAACTTTAATTTGATTTTTTCTCTAGTCGAATCAAAAGAAATTTTAGGAACTTCAGTAGCGAGTATTTCCTCCTCTGGCATTGATAACAGCTTGCAAACGACGAGGCATGCTTTGGATCAGATTTTGGATGACCTCCTGGGGAAGATTTTCCCATTCCTGCATCAGTATGTTGCAAAGCTCTCTAGAGTTTCTAGGGGCCGGTACATGTCGCCGTAAACGTCTTCCCATCTCATCCCAAACATGCTCGATGGGATTCAAATCTGGGCTTGGAGCAGGCCAAACAAATCTCACGATTTGAACTTCGTCAAGATAAGCATTAACAAACTGAGCAGTGTGGGGCCGTGCATTATCATGCATAAAGGTTGCGCCTTCTCCAAGAAAACCCATGAACGGTACAACATGGTCTTCTAGAACCTGTGTGAGGTACCTATGTGCATTTAAAGTCCCATTCTGGATAAAGGCTAACTCCGTGCGAGCATGGAACGAAATCCCTCCCCATGCCATAACTGAGCCTCCGCCAAATGGAAGCCGCTTTGCGATACATGCTCCAGCATATCTCTCGCCTTGTCGACGCCACACTCTAACACGTCTGTCTGAGCCCGTAAGGCAAAAACGGGATTCATCGGAGAACAGTACCTGACTCCAATCCTCTATTGTCCAAACCAAGTGTTCTCGTGCAAAATTTAATCTTGCGATTCTGTGTTCACGGGAAAGCGGCGGTCCAGTAGCCCTGGTTCGAGAAGATAATCCAGCAGCATGAAGTCGCCTCCTAACTGTCCACTCACTTATGTTTACATTTCTGACTTCTTGCAGATGATTTCGAAGGGAAACTGCCGTATCTGTTCGGTTTCTCAATGCACTAGAAACGATAAAGCGGTCGTCTCTAGCTGTTGTACTCCTTCCTCTTCCCGAACCAGGTCTTCGGGTAAGAAGACCAGTCTCTTGGTACCGTTGGCATATTCGTTGCACACTGGAAAGGCTTACATCAAAGTTTCTTGCAGTTTCGCGCTGACCGCGATCATCTTCTATAGCCGCCACAATTCGTGCCGCAATTACTGGATTTATGGCCATTTTGCTTGAAAATAGCATCAATAGTAACCAAGCAATTTGCAATTGAGAGATACCATGCATGGAATACACAAATATGCTGATAATGGTTTTGAGGAATTTCGGCGAGGCACCTTTTTTTTATCAAACTTTAAATAAAACAACAACTTTTTTTTATTCAAACAACTACGATAAAATCATCACATAGAGTAGTAAACTATGCTACACCCACAAAAAAATCTCAAAAACTTAAAATTTCAAAAATAATTGTGAATTATGGGGTGACCCTAATTTTATGCTCGGCAGTGTACTTAGGACTTAAGCTTCCAATCCATCCACATTGGTTTGATAGTTTGCTTCATCTCTGCCGCTTGGTTTTCCTTTCCCATTCCGATGACATGGCCAAGATATACATATTTGTCAACAACATCCAAGGTTTGATCGGTTTCCTTATATGTCTCAGTCCTGCTCATTTATTTGTGTTTTTGATTTTGAACTCGGCGTTATTAGCTGCAAACTAACCAGTAGAGTGCTTTCGGCTATATGATCGTCCTGGCAAAGTCTCCTGTTAATTTCCTTGTTTGTCATGTTTTCCATATTCTCCACACTGAATGTAGCATTTCCGTATATATTCCTGATATGGAAGAATTTATAGAATCATTCCTTGCTCTGTTCATCAGGCTACTTCCAAAGTATGTATTCTCAAAATGTGCGTTTAATGATAGAAACAACCTAAATTGGAGCTGATAGTCCTATAGATCCTTGCGTTTTTGGTTCAAAATTGCATCAAAAACCACCTAATGGTCTCAATTTATCCTGAAAATGCTTCATTTTGTCTTTTTCTTTCGAAATATCAGATGTTGAATTTATTAGAATTTCTGCGTTTTTTTACTTCTGGATCAAAATACATCCGAAGTAGACTTAAAATACGTGTCTAACGAAAAAAAAAACCTAAATTGGATCCTTTTGTTGATGTACTTGTACCACAAAATGGTCCAAATTTGTCCTAAAAGTGCTTCCTTTTGGCTATTTCTCTTGAAATATCACGAGAAAATGTCCAAAATTGCTTGAAAACCACAAAATGGTCTAGATTGGTCCTTTCCTTTCCGCTTTTTTCTTTCGAAATCCTACAAAATGAGAGTAACATTCCATTCGGTAGGTATTTTCAATCCATATTCTCCACACTGAATGTAGCATTTCCGTATATATTCCTGATATGGAAGAATTTATAGAATCATTCCTTGCTCTGTTCATCAGGCTACTTCCAAAGTATGTATTCTCAAAATGTGCGTTTAATGATAGAAACAACCTAAATTGGAGCTGATAGTCCTATAGATCCTTGCGTTTTTGGTTCAAAATTGCATCAAAAACCACCTAATGGTCTCAATTTATCCTGAAAATGCTTCATTTTGTCTTTTTCTTTCGAAATATCAGATGTTGAATTTATTAGAATTTCTGCGTTTTTTTACTTCTGGATCAAAATACATCCGAAGTAGACTTAAAATACGTGTCTAACGAAAAAAAAAACCTAAATTGGATCCTTTTGTTGATGTACTTGTACCACAAAATGGTCCAAATTTGTCCTAAAAGTGCTTCCTTTTGGCTATTTCTCTTGAAATATCACGAGAAAATGTCCAAAATTGCTTGAAAACCACAAAATGGTCTAGTTTGGTCCTTTCCTTTCCGCTTTTTTCTTTCGAAATCCTACAAAATGAGAGTAACATTCCATTCGGTAGGTATTTTCAATCAAAATCTATTCAGGCCAAAAATTCTTGTTCAACAACCTTCCTTCCGTATTTTTGGTTCGAAAACGACATTTTCTGCGTTTCTTGAATTTCTTCACTTCTTCTCGTCAAAATTCTTCCAAAGTAGATTTAAAATGCTTTTTTAACAAAAAAAAAACCTAAATTGGAGCTTATAGTCATGCAAATCCTTTCATCGAAGAAGTGGTTCAAAATTGCAATAAAAACCACAAAATGGTCTAAATTTATCCTCGAGATATCAAGGTAAAATGTCCAACATTGCAATGAAAACCACAAAATGGTCTAAATGTGGATTTTCCTCTTGAAATATCAAGAGAAAATGTCCATAATGAGTGTAAAATTGCATTTAAACGACATATTCTGCGTTTTTTTCACTTCTTCTCTTGAAATAGACTTAAAATGCGCGTTGGACGAAAAACATCCCTAATTGGAGGGAATAGACAGTCCTTTCATAGACCTATTTTTCGAAATTGCATTAAAAACCACAAATGGTCTAAACTTATCCTAAAAGTGCTTCCTTTTAGCTTTTTCTCTGAAAGATCAAGAGAAAATGTCAAAAATTGCTTCAGAAACTACAGAATTGGTCTAAATTTGTATTGAAATTGCTTTGTTTTGGCTGTTTTTTCTTGGAATATCTCGACAAAATGTCCAAAATTAGTGTAAAATTGCAATTCAACAAGATTTTCTGCGTTTTTTCACTTCTTTTGAACCAACGCCTATCCAAATTAATTTTGAAATGCGCGTTTGACTAGAAAACAACCTAAATTAGAGCTATAGTCATACAGTTCCTTTCAAAGACGAAGTTTTTAATCAAAATTGCATTAAAAGCTACAATACATTTGTCCCATAAGTGCCTACTTTTAGCTTTTTCTCTTGAAATATGAAGAGAAAATCTCCAAAATTGCCCTAAGAACCACAGAATGGTCTAAATTTGTCCTAAAAGTGCTTCGGATTTTCTATCAAAATATCAAGAGAAAATGTTCGAAATTGGATCCAACAGTCAAGCAGAACCTTTCGTAGACATATTTTTGGTTCAAAACTGCAAAATAGTCTAAGTTTTTCCTAAAAGTACTTTCTTTAAGCTTTTTCTCTTGAAAAATCAAAGAGAACATGTGCAAAATAAGTGTAATTCAACTACATTTTCTGCGTTTTTTTTATTTCTCAATGAAAATCTATTCAAAGTAGACTTAAAAGGCGTGTTAAATGAAAAAAAAAAATCTAAATTGGAGCTTATAATAATACAGATCCTTTTATTTTTGGATCAAAATTGCATTTTAAACCACAAAGTGGTCAAAATTTGTCCTTGAAGTGCTTCCGTTTGGCGTTTTCCCTTGAAATGTCAAAAGAAAATATTCAAAATTGTCTTCAAAGCCAAGGGTCTAAATTTGTTCTGAAAGTACTTGCTTTTGGCTTTTTCTTTCGAAATAGGTACCAAGAGAAAATGTCGAAAATTAGTGTAAAATTGCATTTTTGGCGTTTTTCCACTTCTTCTCTTGTATGTCATTCAGCCCCGAAGGTCTTTTTGGGCTTCGCTCAATTGTAGTTGCGCTCACCCCAAAAACACCCACTTCTTGGCCTTATGACATAAATAACTATTTTACAAAATGTATACTTTACCTTGTGGTGACTTTATGAATTATACAGGGTGAGTCCGAAATAACTGCTCATTTTGTTGTGGAAATTTTCGGAAAATTTTGACTTTTTGCCCTTAGATTGAAAATTCCTTCAGCGATTTTGTTCAAATTTTCAGAGGGTGTTTGCGATGTTCTCAAGCATCTTTCCAAAAAATCGGTTTGGGTTCCACTTTTCCAGGAGTGGACCTAGAGCGACTCTTATTTTTTTTCAAGAAAAAGTGGTACGCCCCTGGATTTTTTGACAAGTTGAATTTTTTTTTTGATTCTATATTTACTTTTGAACAAAAAAGGTATCTCGAGTTTTTCTTGTTCGATGCGACGTTTACGAGATAAAAAGTAAAAATCAAGTATTGTTTGGAAAATTTACTATTATTGAAACTGAGAAAATGGTAAATCATTTAATTTTATAATAAATAATCAAAAAGCTGTCCGTTCACGTCAGTGCACACTTCTTTTCTACGCACAAGTAACTGCGTAGTGTTGAACAGCATTTGAAGATTATCTCTAACTTCTCCTGCAGCGACGGCAAATTCTGGCGGTTAAATCTTCTAAAGTTTCAACTGGCGTAGTATAAATTAAAGCTTTCATATGACGAGTGTCGCTCTAGGTCCGGTCCTGGAAAAGTGTAACTCAAACGGATTTTTTAGAGAAATGCTTGATAACATCGCAAACACTCTCTGAAAAACAAAATCACTAAGGCATTTTCCAAAGGCTGGAGAAAGTCCTCGAAAATTCTAAGAATTTTCGTAGGGACGTATCCTTGCTGAATTGACTGTGAAACGATATAAAATTTAATCAAAATGAAGATGTTTTACAATACAATCAAAATACAAATGAGCAATTGTTTGTTGCCAAGACAAAACCATCCTCAAGAACCGTGATAATAAAACTGGTTTTTTTTTTGTCAATTGTCCAATGATGCCGCGTTCGAAAACGTAGTTAAACGCATTCCAATAGGTGCGTTCGAGAACAAAGTAAGGAGCGCTTGAAGACACTCCCATAAGCCAATTCTGAACAAAGGCAAAAAGTCAAAATTTTCCAAAAATTTAAACACTCTGTATTTTCTTAACGAGGCGTTTGCAGATCCATGTACCCATGCAAAAAGTGATTGTCCTACTACTCTATTTATCATAACAAATTGCGCACTTATTTCGGACTCACCCTGTAGTTGTTGCCTTTTCTTTCATTAATAAAAAATTGAGAATAAATTTCATGTTCAAGTTTCATATCACAATGTAAATGATGGTAAATTTAGTTTTTTTGATTGAAATCTCATATTAAATTGACATTAAATTGAAGAAGGAAAAAACCGGTATTAATTATTATATGTATATTAAAAATAAATAATATTTTAGAATTTATATAACTACATATCCTCCATAACCTTTCGTTATAAATTTTTATTATGGCCCTAAAGAAGGAGAAAAATAGCTCCGAGAGCTTGGTTTTGTTAAAGAGTTCGAATAAAGAAATCAACTTGACCGTTTCCCAATTATTTCAAAAACTATAAATTATCAACGGTCGTTATCCATGAAAATTTTTACATGTATTTTAGACTCAGAAAGAAGTCTAACAGAAAAAAAAAATGAATTACACTTCATACATGCACCGAAAAATTGGATCACCCTGTACAAATCGAATCCAACGACTATAAGATAAAAGCCTGCTTTAAACAAATCAACTTTCATACCGATTTTTTTTTTCTTACTGCAAAAATTAACTTGATTTCTTATTTGTAGCGCTGGTGTGGGTAGAACAGGAACCTATATAGTTCTAGACGCAATGTTAAAACAAATCAAAGCTCGAGGGGAAGTGAATATATTTGGTTTCCTCAAACACATAAGAGCTCAACGAAATTTCTTAGTCCAAACCGAAGAACAGTATATTTTTATACACGATGCTCTTTTAGAAGCCATTGAGGGAGGCGAAACTGATATTCCCCGTGATCAATTTGCTCGCTACATTGAGATTTTGCAAAATCCTGATAGTAGGACTCAAGAGGAAGGTGCTTGGAAACCTCTACTTGATCAATATCAGGTAAGACAATCGTTACAACATTACTTGAATATTTAGGTATTGTTAAGCATAAATGCTTTATTAGAATTAATATGAAAGTACTAGCGTAAAACCAGAATTTAGGCAGGGCATGAAGTAATATGTTTCATCATATCCTTACATAAAGAAGTTAATGTGAAGCAAAATCATAATACCTTAGATAATATCGCTGTTGGGAGTAAGGGAACTGGAGGATTTGAGAATTCTTTTTGATTTGATCGAAAAATTGACATTTGCTCACATGTAAGCTACATACAGAGCTGCAAGCTCTCAGAAAACTTAAATCTTTTTTTTGATTTAAATCATTTTAATGACTTAAGTCATTTGATTTTAAGTCATTTCTTGAAAGCTGACTTAAGACTTAAAATTTGAGTCATATTCAAAATGATTTGTAACTTAAATGTTTTTTTCCGAAAAAGAAAAAACTTAAGTCATTATTTAAAAAACTTAAATCAGTACATAAGATTTAAGTCATCTAGAAACGATTTAAGTCAAAAAATAGATTTAGGTCTTTATAAAAGGCTACAGTCTATAAATTATTTAAGTAATTTATAAAATATTTAGGTATTTTCAGAAAAGATTTAAATCAGATATTTCATATATTTTATCAAATTTAATCAAAAATTGATATTATTTTGGAAAAAGGTACATAAATGGAATACTCGTTTTCTTGAAATTTTTTGATTTCAGTCAGCTCATCATAATTTAAATCAAAAATACTTATAGACTTAAGTCATTAAAATGACTTACTGAAGGATTTAAGTCATAAAATCACATTATACTGACTTAAGTCATTAGGGAAATGACTTACTTGACTTGAGAGAAAATACTTCAAGTCAAAGACTTAAGACTTAAATAATTTGAACTTTATGTTAGAATTGACTTAAGATTTAAGTCTTTTTAAAACTGACTTGTTGCAGCTCTGGCTACATAACAGGTATTGATGTCGCGAGATGAGACGAGACGAGAATACACTCTCTCTTGTCCTATCTCGAAGGTACAAGAGTAAATGAGTCTCTTGTCTCAGTTGTCTCGAAGAGAGACCTTGGATGGTAAGTTAATTTCGTCTCTGAGGTTAAGAAAATGCAAAAAAAAATTATTTTCGCTCTTTAACTAAAAAGTATAAAAATGTCGTATTACCCAAAGTTGTGGAAAATTTGCAATTTACCAGTGGCGTGGACATTTATGTAGGTACTTTTTCATCTCAACAAATGGTTCGGGACGCCGCGCCGGCCGCTAGAATAATCAAGCCTATTTCAATTATGATGAAAATAGTTTCATTGAAACGGTTTTGTTTTCGTGATCTAAGTAGATTTTTTTTTCTCTAAAATTCAAATAACGCTCTGTATCTCAGAAAAAGGAGGCATTTACGGACACATACTTATTTTTGTTGTTGTTGTTGTTGTTGTAATCGTTTATTTAGCTATTATAACTAATTACATCTTGGAGTTACATATACGTTATCTTAACATCATATTATTATTTTTTTAAAAAACACAGATAAACAATTAATCAACATTGCACCTCAATTTCAAATACAATCATTAAATATAAAACCGGCAATACAAACAAAAAACAAAAATATTCTAAATCACTCAAATAAATAAAACTAAAAGTATACACTGTAACTTAATCTGTCTTATCTCTAATATATTGTTTAAGTTTTCTTTTAAAAGTATTGATTTGTTCACAGCCTTTGATATCAGTCGGTAACTGGTTAAATTCAATTAATCCCCTAATAAATAATGATTTTTCTGCTTGTACAGACCGGACCCTGGGGATATCAAAATTATCCCTGGATCTCAAATTTCTTTCATGCCTCTGAGAAATGTAGTTTATTTTACTCATTAAATATGATGGCAGCAGTCCCACTCTAATTTTAAAAATAAACACCATTGTGTTGTACAAAATAAGTTCCTTTACTGAGAATCATTCCAATGCGTTTTTCATTTCACGAATAGGTGTTCTTCTCGGACAACATAGTATCATCCGCATTGCCTTATTTTGTAGCTTTTGCAATCTTTCAATTTCATTTCTCTGGAACAAGTACAAAACTGTGGAACAATTATAATGTGGTAACACCAATAAATTGAAGAGTAAAATCTTTGACCACCGAGTCAAAGAAAAGGCACATCTATACAAGAACGAGAGCTTGAAAGAAATAGTCTTTATAACATAATCAGCATGACATTTAAATTTTAGGTTTTTATCAATTAAGACCCCCAGATATTTATACTTTTCCACAATTTCTAGCTTATTGTTGTCAATTTTTATTTCAATGCCCTTGCTTACAAAGTCCCTATAATACCTGTCTGGTCCCAGTAACATACATTTTGTTTTCAGAATATTGATTTTCAATGAGTTTGTACAACACCACCTATGTATTCTGTCCAGATTTCCATTAATGACATTTCTCATGTTTTCGACATCTGAAGATGGAAAATAACATACTACATCATCAGCAAATAAATGGATCTCAATTCCCTCAACAACTTCAGCAATGTCATTAATATAAACCAGAAACATCAATGGTGCTAAAACGCTTCCTTGTTGAACACCTATTTCCGTGTCTATCAGTTCTGATTCAACTTGATTAACCCTGACTTTCTGCCTTCTCCCAGTTACATTGCTTTGAAGCAATTCCAGTGCCCCATCCTCAATGCCTACCTTTCTCAGTTTTAAAAGCAGCCTTCTTCTATCCACTGTCTCGAAAGCCCTTTGCAAATCCAGAAAAACAGCACACACCGCCTGATTCCTGTCATTATAGCGCTTCCAATCGTCCATTACACATTATATAGCGGCCTCGCAGTTATGTTTTGCTCTAAACCCTGACTGATATTGAGCTAAAATACTATTTTCCTCTAAATGATCTACAAGTTGCTCATACAAGACCTTCTCAAAAACTTTTGTTACAGAGCTGAGCATGTTACCAGGTATAAATTCTGCTCCCATCTGTGCATTGGACGTTTTTGGAATAGGAACAATTGTTGAGATTTTTAGTTTTGTTGGTACTTTGCATTCTAATATACATGAATTAATTATGTGCAGTAGTGGCTCCTTTAAATTCTCAAAACAGTTCTTTAACAAACAGATACGTAGCCCATCTGGGCTATCTTTATTGGCCATTTCAAAGATACATTTTTTAAGTTGATCATAGTCTATCAATTGAAACTCTTTTAGTGGCGATATATTTCCCCGGTATTTATCTCTGACCCTATCCAATGATATAGACTTATCTATGTTATCAGAGATCGCCCCTATACTCTGCACAAAAAAATTGTTTAAGGAGTTAGGAATTTCTAGTGGGTCACTTATTAATTTGTTATCAACTTCTATTTGGTTTATGATTTTGTTGTATTGCTTTTTCGGGACTATATTATGTATTATTTTCCATAGCTCTTTGGAATCATTTCTATTTTCACTAATTTGATTGTTATACTAATTATATTTTTCCCGTTTTATAACTTTGACAGCATAATTGCGTTTTTCTTTGTAGTTTTCAAAGTTTTGTTCCGTTTTATTTGCACAATACTGACGATATGCTATGTCCCTTTTTTCTGTAGCATTTTTAACATTTTCGCCCCACCACTTCTTGTATTTAGCAAAAATTTTAACTCTCTTTAAAGGTGTCACTTCATTTAAGATTTTGTAAACTTCATTATACTTACATAATATTATATTTTTCATCCAAATCTATGATATGGAATTTCCAAATTACTTCACCTAGCTTTCTATTAATTTCCCTATAGTTTATGTTCTTTCCTCTTGTAACTATATTTTGTGCTGATCGAGGCAATCCCTGATTTAGAATGTCAACTTTTATGAAGTTATGGGTTCCGATTTTTGGAGTTGTCAGGACCTTCGCCTCGAAGCAATCCACATTTGTCAGCATCAAGTCAATGATCGAATCACGTGTTAGTGTTGAATGCGTGGGACTGCTGACAATATTTTTCAAACCCAAGTCTACCGAAATATTTGCTAACCTATCACTATCTTTATCCTGTGCTTGAGTAGACCAGTCAACATTAAAGTCGCCCACAATTAAGACCCTCTTCTCTAAACCAATATCTTCAAACCACTGCTCAAACATATCCAAAAACATACCCTTATTTCTTGAACCACCACTTGGAGATCGATACAATGACGCAACTAGAAATTGTTTTTTGTTAATCTCAAATTTTATCTGACCTATCCAATATTCTTTTTCTTTAGTTATTTTCTTAAATTCTGTCACATTTATGAAACTTTTAATATAAATTATTGTACCACCTGTATGTCGATTTTCGCTATTCACTCTAAAAGTTTTGTACCCCATTATATCAATCTCCGCATCCAGCATATGTTCTGTCACCCTAGCTTCAGTCAAACAAACTAGAAGAGGACCCCTTTCTAATACTAATTTACAAATTTCATCGTAATGCGCAGGTAATGACTGAGCATTCAAATATAATAAAAATGTTTCTCTTTTGCAGCTTTTATGTTTTATGTTTTTGTTCTTTGCTGGGCCCGTTCTATAAAATTTAAACCTACCTCACTAATGTCTTTTGTAACCACTTGATCTTCCCCATCTTCTATTATTATTTCATTTTTGTCATGTTCCCCCTGTGGTCTTCCGAATACCTTTTTGTTATTTGCTACCCGTGTTGTGCCAATATCCACAGAATCCAATTTCCTTAGTTTGTTAATTCTTGTCCATAGCTTCCTGGTGGTTTCATCCTCAAGTCCCACTGCTTCTACATCACTGTGTGAAGTCCTTCTCTTACTCACTAACGGGAAAGCTCTAATTAATAGTTGACCAATTAGAGTTGCCATCTGAATTCTACCATTTTTGTTTGGAAGAAGTTTAGAGAAATAAACTTCGTTATCTAATGTTGAAGATATATCCAGAACACGAGCTTTAGATCTTGCATAACTTATCTCGTATTTAATAGACAGAATTGCTTTATTATTTCTATGTATTCTCTCAAATTGCTGGTGGGTAGGTCTCACTGGAACAGTACACAAAATGACGTTGGTATGTTTTGTTTCTGTCATTAGCTTTAGAACATCCTCAAACTGAGTAACACCATTTATGCCCGCTAGAAGTACCAAGAAATCATTCTCTCCAAAATCTGCAGTGAGGTTTTTAACATTTTGTGTAACTTGAGCAAAGTCCGCCTGAGGTTTGCTTATAATCTGAAGACCCGAATTAGTGTTTCTTAAAATTTCCAACAGATTATCGGACAACTTGAAGCCATAGTTATCAGTACTTTACTTTTAAGAGATGATAGACTCTGTGCACCTGTTCTATGCGTTGCTTCACTATCGTCCCAATAGGGATTTACAGACTTGTTGCTTCCCATGTCACTAATCAATTTCAATGCATCGTGGATTTCCCCTTCCAGATTGATGTACCAGATTTGTGCTTGCCTTGCCTTTCCTGCAATGGCCCTCAAACCAGCCTTTATGCTCTCGCACTCACACTCTGTTCTTCCAGTTTTGCTACGATCCGCAGTAGTTATTTGGTTTAAGTATTCAGAGTTTACAATTTCTAATTCCTCAATTGACTTTCTAAGACTGTTATTCAAATTTTTCAGATTTACTAGTTCCCTTCAAATTCTTGCTTCATTTTATCATGTCTGGATTCTATAATGTATTTTTTTTGTTCATAAACTATCCTTTCATCATTTACTACTTTGACACTGTAATTCCTATCTTTCATCCCTTCGAAAGATTTTTTCTTTTCTTCTAAATCATGTATTCTCTGCTCCAGAATCTCCTTCTCCTTTTCAGCATTCAATAGTAGCAGTTTCAGGTTATTTTTAGTGTTGACTAGATCCTCAGCCTCTTTATTAAGTTGAATTATTTGTTGTTCCACCAATTCCTTACCAAGGTTTTGGCTAGCAAGTTCCTCTTTATGTTTTCTTCCAGATGTTATTAAGGACTGTTCTAGTTGTAGGATTTTTGAACTAGTTCGTCCAATTTCCTGTTGAACAGATAACTCACTATCTTCAACCTTCTTTTTCAGTTCACTATTCTCGCGTGTGAGTATTAAATTTTTTCTCTCAAGATTCTTTATAGATGCTTTTAACAGATCAATTTCAGCTTCCAAACTGTTTTCTGCCATGAAAGCATCATCCTGGAACTCTATGGTAAAACCTACTTTTTCTCATATGTTCGATTTGATTTTCTTTGTCTTTTATTCCGTCATTAAGACTTTCAATCTGCCTCTGCAATTTCGACATTATTTCATCCTTTTCCTCTTCTATTTCGCTAATGGCAACGCTTAACCTTCTATTTTCCTGAAACATCTTCTCAACTTGTCTAACATCGATGTCGTTACTGGAACATGCCGTACATATATATGAACGGGACTTTTCTGGACATCAGTGCTATGAAGCGAACCTCTGTTGCCGACCACTTCTCGCAACTTCGACATAGAACATTCCTGCATTTATCGCATGTTCCACCAAAAATTTCTTCACTTCCTTTCGGGGGTTCTTTGAAAACGCATGTGGAAAAACATTTGCAGCAAATTCCTGTCCGAGGTGATCTGACTGAACGCACTCCAGTGCAACCGGTGCAGTGGGTGTAGCCCGTGTTCGCCGCTTGCTAATAGACCAGAATAGACAGCTTAACCCTACTTTATTGATTATTTTTAATTCGCGGGAAGTATTTATCAACAATAATAAACAAGTGTGCAAAAAAAAAGCAAATCCTTTTCTGTTGTTTCTCCAGTTTATTCGTGGATCTGGGGTGCAATTCTTCTCACCTGCATTTCCATTTGATCGTCACCTTGTTTTCTTCCATTTAAGGTACTTTTAATGGCTGGTTTATACAACATTTGCATAGTCGTAATCATATACTTTCTCAAAGTTTCAAAAAGTGTGGAAATTAAAATTCTGCGAAAGAAATCCATACAAGTGATAGGTCTGTCCTATTTATTTTTGAGTTTTGCTAATAAACAACTTCAACAAACGCAAACCATAAACAAAGAAGGTGGAAAGTGAGTCCCATCAATAAAAAAAGGCAGAAGGAAGGGCATTTTGCTACATTATTCAAAGACATGTAGAAGCTCGATGGAGACCCTTTTTTTTAAATACTCCAGAATGACTCAAGATCAATTTAAATACAAACAGAACTAAAATAGCAGATTTGAATTGTTTTTCTCTGTATCAGCTGATAATGGCGCTTGCGCAGTTTGGATCTGGTCTTAGTCATAATCATAAAAGTTAAAAGTTGCCAACCTTAGACAAGAAAAGAGAGAGGACTGGTAATCCGTCAAGCCTGCGTGTTACCAGCTGGCCCAAGACCGTTTAGGCCAGTGGCGTATCACAAAATCATACATAGTTAAAACGGTAAATGTCTAAATGGTTGATCACCACGCCAAAATTTACGATTTTTTCAGGATATACGTATTTTGGGGCGTAAATTAGGAAATAATCAGTTTATTCGCTCTTAATTAGTTTTTAGGACTTTTTTAAATTAAAATCGAGTATTTAAATGGTCTACGCCACTGGTAGATTCAAAGGATTTGACAGATCGAATTAACAAAATTATTGATTTTTCAATGGAAACATTTAAAATAGCGAATTATATTTAGGCCCGTAATTTGCTTACACACCGTATAATATGATACTTATAGGGCATGTATAAAATCTGTCCCCAAATATAAAAAAAGCGCCTGTATAATGATGGTTTTATTATGCATTGTTTATTAATTACCTGTGAAAAGATACTCCCGGCACCTTTTTCTCGCTACGACTTTTACACTGAAAAGCACAACAATTCACCATGTCTATTAGCACAAAATTTAGTCAAATATTAAAACTTTTTAGTCACAAAATCACAAAATATCAACACTGCCACAGAAGCTTGTTTGCCACAAATAAAATGGTGACCGGTTAATTGATGTAACAAAACCCAGCATTGCGTTAAACCAGTGCGCGTTATTCTCTCCCCTCCCTAATCTAAGTTGCCAACTTTGAGTTATGCTTATGCTTATGCTTATGATTATGATTTGTGTATAAACGGTTCCATAAGAAAATATTATTTTAACTCTTATGACTAAGACTATGATTATGATTACGACTATGCAAATGTTGTATAAACCAGCCATAAGTATATTTTGCCGTCGGGAACTATAAACTATTTTGAGAAAATACTAATAACAATGTCAAAGGTCAAAAAATTACATGCTATATAGGATTTTTTTTTTAATATGAGAAACTTGCCTTGATGTTAGGGACACAACTTCAGAAACGCCCTGTATATTTAAGTGAACTCATTCATTCAATTCATTTTGAATTTCAAGCCATATTCTTTACAAAAAGTAAATGCATCATGCATCACAATAGGTGTGAACAAAAATAGCTTTGCAAAACCAATAATGACAAAAAAATAACTAAGAATTAACTTTTTGAAAATCTACTATCGAAATTATCAAATGTGTGATTTTTTTTTTTGTCTGAAAAAGAGCACAATTCGCACTAACACCGGCACAATTGATCACACAATGAGCACAATTGAATGAGCCATAAATATGGCAAAAAAAGTCAAAAAAATGGGGGGCTGGAATCAAGCTGGCCCTCGGATTTGTTTCATTTAATTTTTTTTAGTATATGGAAAAGAGCACAATTTGCATTAACACCGGCACAATTGAGCACAAAACAAGCACAATTCAATGAGCTAAAAAATTAAAAAAAAAAAAAAAAAAAACATGGGCTGGAGTCAAGCTGGCCTCCGGATTTTTAACGAACAGCAACTTGCAGCACTTGACGAACACTCCGGGCTGTCCTCAACATGGCCCGGAAGAAAATTATAATTGACAATTATTACGTGTTAAATGTCAACAATTTTCAAAAAAATGTTGCAGCACTTGACGAGCACTAGAGGACCTCAATTTTTGATTAAAAAATGCTGACTTGTCCGGGCTGTCATCAAAATTACCCGGAAGAAATAATTAGGGATTACGTGTTAAATCAGGGCCCGTTAAATATCAAACATTTTCAAAAAAAAAAAAAAATTGCAGCACTTGACGAGCACTCGAGGACCTCAATTTTTGATTAAAAAATGCTGACTTGTCCGTACAGATAACGTGTTAATCAATAAAAATTATGTATTTTTTTTAGCAGCATCTTGCAGCACTGGGCGAGCATTACCTTATCCCAATTTTTTATTAGAAAATGCCGGGTTGTCCGGGCCAAGTTGAGGGAGCTGCAACTGGGAACATTTAAATTCGCCTACTCTTTCAAAAGCAGGAATCTAAGATTTATAACACTTGGATCAAAATACAATTGACTTGTTTTAATTTGGCGTTAACTTATTTTGCATATAATTTAGACAGAAAGTTATGTAAAGACATAAGATAAAACATTCTTTATTTAGTTATTTTGAGCATTTAGAAAAGCGCATTCCCTTGAGAAAGAGAATGCACAAAGAGAATGCACTACACTGGGTGCTGAACTAACTGTCCTTGTGTTCAGAGAAAACGCTACGCTTCCAAGGTGGCGCGATCATAACCTAGACCTCGTAAAAGTCAAGATCAAATTGTCATGTCAGATCTAAATTGAAAACAAAACCATTAATTTATTAATTACCGATATATAAATTGATAAAAAATAAATTTAAAGAAAGTCATCAAAAAACATGATGAAAGGTGCTCCTTTTCCAACTGTTTAGACTCCGGAGACAACAGTCTGAGTAAGTATTTGAGAAAGAAATTCCAGAGATTTGTTCAACACATGTTGTACTTATGTGCCTTTTTTCTTCCTTTTGGGGCTTGATAAAGGATAAATAAATATCCGAAACGTTGCCGGAAACTAGATAGTTTCTTTCAGTCCCCTACTCCTCTAACCCACGAAACTCTACCTACATTTAAATAACTTTTTTCTGAACAACAGGACTTATTTTGATTTGATTTTGATTTATTATGTCGAAATGGAGAATTTATCAATATTAATGTAAGAAATCTTATTTGCAGCAAGTCATCAAATTCAAACCACGTGATTTCAACCTCGTCTCAGCGAACAAGCCCGTCAACCAAAAAAAGAATAGATGTGCGGTTTTGGTGCCTATTGAGAGTGCCAGAGTTCACCTAACCCCTAGACCTGGTGAAGACGGATCTGATTATATCAACGCTAGCTGGTTACCTGGTTTCCACAGCTTACGGGAGTTCATAATTACCCAGCATCCTCTAGTAAAAGAGGATTTCTGGAAAATGTGTTGGGACCACACTTGTCAACTTACAGTTATGCTTAGCATGATCGATGGTGACGAATTCCAGGCATTTTGGCCTGAAGGTGACGAAGTAATTGAAACAGACGTTTATACTTGCCAGCAGCTTAGTGTTAATAGAAGCACGCCCTATATAATTAGGGAATTCCTGCTCAAGTCTGTTCAGGACGATTACGAAATTAGGACCAAGTTTATCCAGAGCATCAATTGGCCCCACCATGGAGTTCCTAGTATTAAAAATATGTATGATTTGCCTAACTATGTTACTGGAATGCAGAAGACTGGACAAGGACCTGTTTGTGTTGTTGATAGGTAAAAAAATTATTGAATTTTCTGAAAATTTGCATTTATGCCATTGATTTAAATTGGATTTGAGATAGCTCTTATCAGATTTTGAAAAAAAAAATGTAAGTCATTGGCAACACAAAAAAATCATGTACAGGGTGTCCGAATTTGGATGGTTTTAATAGGAAACATCAATTTCTGAGCGAGATACAAAAAAATGAACCCCCCACTCCGAGGCTCGACTTTCTTGAAATTTTGATTGGTGCAAACTGCATTTTGATATCTTCAACCGTTTAGCCGCTAGAGGGCGATTCTCGATTTTGAGCAATACTGTGAAATCTTCATAACTTTTTTGTTTATAGAAATAACTGATTTCCATAAAAACTTCCTGGAAGCACTTTTTCAAGCAGAATTCAGTGACGTTTTCAGTTTTTTTCTATTGGGCCTCGATTTCAAGATATTGACCAAAATCCGATTTTTTTCAATGGGACACCCTATATATTAATAGCTCTCTAAAAAGCTCTGCTTTTGCTGATTTCAATGATATAAATTTCGATAGGTTTATCTCTAACAGTTTTCGAAAAAAAAAATTATTTCGTTTTTTTCCATAAGAAACAATGTGTCTTTATATTTGTAGGGAAAATGAGAAAGGTCTCTTTCTAACTCATTGTTTCTTATGACAAAAACCAAAATAGTTTTTTTTCTGGAAAACTGTTAGAGATAAACCCATCGAAATTTGAATCATTGAAATCAGCAAAAGCAGAGCTTTCTATAGAGCTATTAATATATAGGGTGTCCCATTGAAAAAAATCGGATTTTGGTCAATATTTTGAAACCGAGGCCCAATAGAAAAAAACTGAAAACGTCACTGAATTCCGCTTAAAAAAGTGCTTTTAGGAAGTTTTCCTATTAAACCCATCCAAATTAACTTAACTTAATAGCAACAAATGCTAAATTATTTGTTAAGTTGCACTTAGTGGATTGTTTTTAAACAAACTAGAAAGAATCCTACAAAAAAATTGCTTTTATTATATTTACATATTGTCACCGCTCGGTTGCGCGTGACAGAAATCTTGGGTTCGTTTATTCCAAAATCAAAGTCCAATTAACACAAAAATAATTTATTCCACGTTACTACACACTCTGACACTAATTACTTCACTAATTAACTCAAACAACTTTTCTCTTTACAACTTTTACAATAGTCACTATCTAAAACGTATCACAGCCAATCCTAAACTTAAAAACTACCAACTAATACTGGCCTTTATAAATCTGTAATCTATTCTTGCAAAATCCAGAATAAACGCCATAGACCTTTTTCCCGAAGAGCAACGTAAAATCTGGAATCAGTTGTCCAATTCTGTACACCGTGGCGGAAGCGCCACTTTCTGTGACACTGCCCTCCTCTTTCGGCGACACTCCTTTCTTTCATGTTGGATTATACAGCCACACCAAATCACCTTCTTGAAATTCGGCATAATTGGCTTTCAAGTCGTATCTGGTCTTCATTCGGTCACTGGCCAGCTGAATATGCTCCCGAGCAAAATCATGTATCCCCAGAAGTCGTGCCCTTACTTCGTCGGCATAATCTCGAATTTCTTTTTGTTCTTCTTCAGGTATTCCAAACAACAGATCGCAAGGTAACCTGAGTTCCCTTCCGAAAATGATTCTAGCTGGATTTTCACGTGTTGACTTGTGAATAGCTGCTCTGTAAGCCATTAAAAATAGAGGCAAGTGTTTGTCCCAATCTCGCTGGTTTTTTGCGACCACTTTTGTCAGGTGTTCCTCTATGGTCTTATTAAATCGTTCTACCATGCCATCAGACTGTAGATGTCAAGGTGTTGTCCTTGTCTTACGAATCGGAATTATAGAAACTTCAGCACCCGTATCAAAAGTGGTGGTTTTAAATCCTCCATTAATTTGCCCTTCGAATTTTAATCCTCTAAAATGATTGCCCAATGATATTATGTAAACAACCCTGGGGGCTTGGTCATTACTAGCCAGCATCCGCCCCTCCCTACTAGTTGGTTCCTGTCTGGAGTCTCTAGATCTTGAAAAGCGTTGGGAACGATCCCTACATGGATCGTTCCATCTAGGAACGAGTAAGGACATCCTTACTCTACAATCCCATTGCATATGTCCAAGTTTATGACACCGGTAACATTCTTCTCGGTGTTGGTGTTTGTCTGGAGTCGTTTCTCGTTTGTCTACCTTCTGGGAATAGTTGCTCCATTTTTTCCATGCACTTACTCATAACATTCTTGAAGCTACCATCTTCTTTTGACGATTGTTTATCCTTTGAGTCTTCAATGGAAACTGCTCGTATTCTGGGTTGTGAGGCACCAAAGATTGCTTCCAGTTCCAATGCTCGCTACTTTTCCTGAACTTGTACAATCTCAAGTTTTCCTGGATCTTGGAATCTTTGAGACCATCAATAAACGCAGATACTGCCATCTATTCCTGCATGTCTTCCTCAGCTGCAGGAAACGCCAAACTCACTAGCGCTTCAATTTCCGATTCGAATTCTTGTAAATTCTCGGCAGGTTTTTGAATTCTTGATTTAACTTGAGCTCTGAATACTTCTTGCCAGTAATGGTCTCCGAAGGGCAATTATTCTAACATCTGCCTTAGATGCTGGTAATTCTGTTGGTAGATTGAAGGAATGGACTGAAGAAGGTCTAAGGTAGGTCCTCGTAGCGCCACTATCAATGCTGTAGCTTTTTCTTGATCGTTCCATCCGTTGGTAATTGCAGCAGCTTCAAATTGTCGGATATATATGGTCCAGGACCTGGAACCGTCAAAAGTTGGGGGTTTCATCTTCATAGAGAATGCTCCAACACTAACTGGATTGATGGACTGTATTTCTAATTTATTCACCTTATCTTCAAGTGCTTGAACTTGGTCCTCAACTTGTCTTAATTGATGAACATCGTCTTTAACTTCTTGAACATTGTCTCTAACTTCTTGAACATCGTCTTTAACTTCTTGAACATCTTCTTTAACTTCTTGAACATCTTCTTTAACTTCATTTTTAACTTCCTTAATCTTTTGTTCCAGGTTAACAACAGATCCTTGTATGATTTGTAATATTTTCTCAGTTGTCAAATGTCTTCTTGCCATTCTTGTTGGCGTCTAGCTTCTTCTTCTTGTTTTTCTTGTTGTCGTTTTGCTTCTCCTTATTTTTCTTCTTGTCGTTAAGCCTCTTCTTGTTGTCGTCTAGCTTCTTCTTCTTGTTTTTCTTTTTGTCGTCTGGCCTCTTGAAGTTCCAACATTTTGCGCAGAAGTTCTTCAATTTTTGCTTGTTATCTCGTAATAGGCATATACAGGATGTTCTGGAATTTCCCTCATACTGTCTTCAAATATCTTCCCTGATCTTTGATTAAAGTTCCAAACACGTCGGTGAAGTCACAAATTGGATAACTTGCTTTATTCTCGAATAGGATGAGGATGTTCTAGAATTTTCTTGAAATGTCTTTGCTGAATATCGATTGATATAGCAAACACGTCGGTGAAGTCACAAATTCAATATTCAAAATTCCTCTAAATTCTTTTTCTGAATGACGATTGATGTATCGAATACGTCGGCGAAGTCAGAAGTTCGATATCTCGATATAAAATTTTCAAGAACTTACTTGAAAATTCACTATCACAGTCAAAATCGGGTACCTATACAGTCAGTACCGGGGTAATTTACACGATCGGTTAAGTCTCTTTTGGTGATTGTCACTGCTCACACTGACTAACTGTCCCAGTGTTCACTATAGTGTTCACACTAGTGTCCGCGCACTATTCTGCAATCGGATTTCACTTTGCAGTCCTCGAATTATGTCTCCCTTCTGACACTAATGTCACGGCTCTGGGGTACGTGACAAAAATCTTGGGTCCGGTTATTCCAAAATCAAAGTCCAATTAACACAGCAATAATTTATTCCACGTTAATATACACTCTGACACTCCTTATTTCACTAATTAGCTCAATCAACTTAACTTTTTACAACTCTTAACAATATTCACTATCTAAATCGTTTAACAGCCAAACTTAAACTTAAAACTACCAACTAATACTGTCCTTTATATATCCGCAATCTATTCGTGTAGAATCCAGAATAAACGCGATAATCTTTTTGCCCAGTATTTTCTAGATTCCAAGTAAGATTCTGTACATGCTGTTGAACACGCCGCTTTTTGCGACAATATACTAGTTAATGACGATTTCAAAACTGGCTTTTAACTCGGAATCTTGAAATAAATATGGATGAAACTAAGTACATGGTATTTGAACAAAAAAATAATAATAATTTGGAAATAAGAATGAGTGAATGGAAAAAGCGGGAGAGAAAGTGAGTCAGTCAAGTATTCAGGTCTTATTCTGGAGGAAAATCTCAATTGGTGTACTTACGACATATAAAAAATAAAATAATTCCTTTAATTGGTGGTCTTTTTAGGTGCAGAGACTCTTTAACAAATAGAGCCAAACAAACAATTTACAATGCTTATATTCTTTCATATCTAAGATATCTCTTACCTATATGAGGAACCTGTGTTACATTGATTTCAACAAAATATAGATACTCCAGAATAGGGCATTAGAATCACTTGTCAAAAAAGATAATATTGTAATGCTTTGGAAATAAATAAATGTTAGCTTACCTTGCAGCTTTTCATTATCTAAAGGACGAACCTATTATTTGGTTTATAATTCTACTTTAATCCTGGATTCGAGAAATTTTGGATTGTAATACTTTTTTTAATCTTTAGATTTGGTGGTACTGATGCAGCTAGCTTTTGCGCTCTAGTGACTCTAAGGCGACATTTGGCCTATGAAAATAAAGTGGACGTATATATGTATGCCAAGCTCTACCACAACAAGAGACCAGGCGTATGGCTTTCCATCGACGACTACATGAAACTCCATCTTTGTGTTCAAACCATATCCTCAGGAACTGAAAAAACCCTGGAAGAAATTCCACCAGATCTATTTACTATGGCAAATGGCATAGCCAAAAACCGCTCTTCTGCTTCTAATTGCTCTGGAAAGCTTTCAAATTGTTCTGATCCACAACCGGGATACTCCAGGTCTATGGATGGTTTTCCCAGTAGCATTGCCATCACGATGGAACAAGACGGTGAGCGACCATCCACATCAAAAGAAATAGGATTATCAGCCGGGATTTTGAAAGAAGAGAATAATGACTTGGAAAGAGTTCCACCAGAAGGTATGGAATCTGAAGGGGCAGTCCTTTGAAATATGATTAATCTGCAATCTGCTAAATAGCAGGCAGATGTTTGCTTTGTCTTCACAATCAGTAATTAGAATCTTTCAACACATTTTTGGAAAAAAAAGTGTTAATCGTCAATAGCACCTTGTACAGTGTGTTGTTTGTCAAAAAAAATGTTCATCAGTCATGTTGCTAATACGCTTGATCCTATGTAAGCTTGTCTTGTCAGTCCCTGATATGAATACTTTTACTAGGTATACGAATTCATGTTTTTTTTTTGTTTTCTATTGTACTATGAAAGCAACGAAAATTTACTCTAAAAAAAGTTACTAGTTTAGTAAACATCGAACTTTGTTGTTGATAAATGTAAATGCAAATTGTAATAAATGTAGGCTTTTAGGATATGTAGTAGTTCCAGTTTTGTTTTTAAAATTTTGAGGGTGTTAGGATACATAAAACTATATGTTTAGTATTCCGCTTCTGTATTGTCACTTGTATTTATTAATAACGAGACCTTTGCAAGAATAGTTAATCTGGAATTGATACCCACAAATTTAAATATTTGACGTAATCGTCGAGGACAGGAAACTCGATACATTATACCACAAACTGGAAGGCTAAACCTGTATTCTTGGTGTAGGCATAGACATCTGCTCTCTCACAAAATAAAAACATAATAATGCTACATAAATATAGTGTCTTATGAATCGACAAGTGTATTCTAATGAACGAATTCTACTGACGAATCTTCAAGCAAATAATAAATCAAGAAGTTTTCAATTGCCCAGGAACAAAACCATTTTTCTATTTTCAAATCATCAGTAAACTCTTGAATTGTTCCTAACTGAAAGGTTCATTTCCTCATTCAGACTAACTCTCAGCCTTTACCAAATCCTGCCTTATACACATATGAAGTTCCAAGGGAAAGGCATAGTCATAAGTCCAAATTTCAAACTTTTTATCTACATCAATTCCATGATGATCGGACAAAGTTGGGATAAGCATATTATTATCAAGAATCGCAAGATTAATGAACATATTATCACCACAATTATTTAATCTCTTCTAAAATACTTTGTCAAGTCTAAAATACTATCTTTTGCAGCACCCTTCGTCTTAAAGTGTATATTAAAATCACTATGCACACAGTATTTTCAAGAAATGCTGGCCAAAATATCTACAAACTCATTGAAATCTCCTCCTGGGGGGCAATAAATATTTATGCAAACCAAATTTGGTAATGGGCATGTACTACATTCATTATACTGTCCGACTAAGTTTTTTTTCTTAATCCAAAGCTTTCAACTTCAAAGTATCTCTGGTCACTATCACAGCCCCAATATCTGTCCTGTTATTTTTGTGGCAGTAAGTGTGATTTGAGGTAATAACCGTTAATGTTAAGAAAGTCAATTTCTTCTTCCTCTATGCAGTGTTCAACAAATCAGAGTACTTTGTAGTCTTTTTTGTTCAATAGATAAGCCTCAATTACAGTTACTTTGTTCCTGATTGACCAGATGTTGATTTAAAACACATCAAACCAATTTTCAGTCATCTGGCCTCACTCGTGGCCCCAAATTTTATGTACACCATCACCAATAAGCGTCCAGTATGTTCAAATGTAATTTAATCATTTACTAAAAAAATGCTTTATTGTAAGCACAAAGACAGCTAGAATCAAATCAAAGCCTCAATCAAATTCAAGGTAAAACAAAATATTATTATCGTACTGCTTACATTTAAAAATGTAAGAGAAAATATTAGACTTCTTATTTATCCATTCCAATTTAGCTATTCTTGTAAATAAAAAATACAAATACAAAATACTTATTAATTAACCATTCAACAAAGTAACCCTAGTGCAATTTTATAGATTTTACTTTAATTCCATTGTTTATACTAAAACTTGCAATCACAACTAAATCTATATTATCGCGCACAATCTATTAGTGTTTAACAACTGACTGTCAACTTTTTTTGTGTGTGCTTCGCGGTTTTTTTTTTGTGTTGGCTTTCTCAGCATGTATTTATTCTATGTCAAAGCAATTAATTTTTCTTGAATACATACCTGCAATTTTTATGTTTCAGCTATACCGCTATTAGGAAATCTGAAGGCTAGACACTAAGATATGTTTGGTTTTCATTAACAGAAGGCTGCTATTTTTTATTTTAACTATTTAGTATGTAGTGACAAATATATCTACACTTGACTGAAATTTCCATTGGACCCAAAAGTACATTTGAAAATAGACCTTTTGCAGACTTTGAAGAGCATTACAGTCCTAATTTAAAATGTGTGCACTATCTTATCATAATTTTTCAGAAGCAATAAGTCCCAGTTATAAACTTGACGTTGAGATTTCGTCTGTCGTTTGCGTCCGCCGTTTTCAATTAAAAGTTTAGGAATCCATAAGATCGTTTGTATTCCGTTCCGTGTTCCGTTATGCTCCGTTTATAAACTTGACGTTAGGATTCTGTTATCGTATGCTTTCAATTTCAATTTAAAATAAGCTTTATTGCCCAAAAATTTCACAATTTCATTGACAAAGCAAAAAGGATTGTCTTATAATTAATTCTTAAAATTAATACAATGTCCAATAATTCAAACTGAACAAACACAAGACAAGAACAGTTTGACAGTCTAAAACACGTTACAACATTCACATTAACTGACATTATTTATAAAGTATGTATAACACTATAGCTATCCCATTCAATCTTCATAAAATTCAGTAAGACCATAATATGCCTTGGCGACCAGGTAGTTTTTTACAGACATACGGAAACTCTCATAGCAGTCCCTATCTTTAATGTCTTGAGGAAGATGGTTAAACATTTTCACACTTTCATAAATTATTGAGTTTTTTGTAAGGGAAAGCTTTGGTATTGGCAGCGGTAGGTAGTTTTGCCTTAAACTGTAGTTCCTGTCTTGTACAAAACCAGAAAACTTTCTATAAATCAGAGAAACTGACTCAAGAATAAAAATGCAGGGCACCGTTAATATTTTCTCCTGTACAAAAAGCGGTCGACAGGTTTCTCTACAGCCTTTCCTACAAAGATAACGTAGGGCCCTCTTTTGTAGCACAAATACGGACTGTATAGATTTTTGCGTAGAGTTACCCCAGAAAGCTATCCCGTATCTGATGTGTGATTCTAGTAGTGAATAATAAGCTGTTTTAGCTTCTTTTTTGCCAAGTTCCTGTACTATAGTCCTAACAATGTAAAATCCGCTTGCCAATTTTTTATTTAAATGGTCAATATGGGAGTCAAATTTCAGTTGTGTGTCAATGTGCAACCCAAGAAACTTCACGGTTGTTCTATTTGCCAGGATTTCGCTTTCTAGTCTGATGTCAGTCAAAGAGCACTTGAAAGTGAGTATGTTTGTCTTTTGTACGTTAAAACATAATTTATTTGTATCGCACCACCTCTTTATTTCGGAGAGATCGTTTTCGATGGTTGTCTGAAAATTGTCTAGAGTCCTTGAAGTCCACAGACCGGTAGCATCGTCTGCGAAAGCCGTGAATTCCCCCGAAATTGCGAGGGATACTAAGTCGTTGACGTAGAGTAGGAGAAGAATGGGTCCCAACACAGACCCCTGCGGCACACCATGCATAATCTCAGCCGTATCAGAATAAACCCCATTCACTCGGACGAACTGGCATCTACCTGAGAGCATTGACCTGAACCAGTCTGAAGCCGTTCCACGGATGCCATAATGACTAAGTTTCTGCAGCAATATTTCATGATTTACGCAATCGAAAGCTTTCGAGAAATCACAAAACACCGCCGCAGCCATCTCTCGATCATTCAAGCTGAGGTATAGTTTTTCCAAAAATGAGAAGATTGCATCATTTGTGCCTCTAGAACTTTGAAAACCAAACTGATTCCGATCAAGAACATTATGCCTCTTCAAAAAATCCACCAGTTGCTCTTTAAAAATGTTCTCCATGATCTTCGAGAGAGTATTCAATAGCGAAATAGGTCGATAATTCGATAGATCTGAACTGTCTCCCCCCCCCCCCCCTTAAAGATTGGGATTACCACTGCCGATTTCAGACAAGGAGGAAATATTCCAGCGCCCAGAGAAAAATTAATACAAGAGGCTAGTGCCTCTAGAGCACTGTCATGTTTGTTTGTTGTTTTGAAACTGAACTGTGTAAGATAATGGCTGTAGATAATCTAAAGGATGAGTGTTAGAATTAAGATTATCTGACAGCTTTCCTGCAATGGTTGTGTAGAAGGTATTAAGTTTGTCAGGCTCAACATCAACAAAACTTTTGGATCTTTCTTTTTTTCCTCTAAATTCGTTTATCAACTTCCAGTATTCTCTGCTTTTGTTTTCTGCCTTGTTGATTCGCCTTCTATAGTGGATTTTTTTCGCCTCAATAATAACCTGTCTATATATGGTTCTGTACCTATTGAAGTACTGTATGAAAGCCTGGCAGTCAGTGAACTTTCTTAGAGTATGCAGACACCTTAAGTTTTTCGAAGAGACCCTGATACCTTTAGTAACCCATATTTTTTTTGTTTTGGCTTTTATTTTTCGCAAAGGAAGCTCTTATTAAGAATTCTTGTAGCAGATATCTGAAAGCTTTGTATTCGATCCTGTGTATTCAAACACTGGCTCCAGTTTACACGGCTTGCCAAACTCCTGAAGGTATCAAAGTTTCTTTTGCTGTATATTCTGCATTTTACTAAAGCTTTTTTGGGTACCTCACCAAATAGCGTTAATTCTGCCGCCAAGGCTTCATGGTCTGAAAGTCCTGAGGGTATAACTTTACAATTTAAATCCCCAAAATCGAAGTTACCGCACATATAATCAATCGTTGTTTCTCAATGACTGGTGATGCGTGTTGGCTCGTTCACAAATACTTTTAAATTAAATGAATATAACAGACTTATCAAAGCTTTGGTATCTCTTGATTCCGCATCATCCCAGTCGATATTGAGATCGCCTGCAAGAATTATCTTTGATGAAAGTGGGAATCTTAGCAAAAGACTCTCGAGACCTTCCAAAAACATTGCTGGGTTTCCAGATGGAGGCCTGTATGCGCATACTATGTAAATATTAAGTTTTCTTACAAAAATCAGTGAAAATTCAAATTTGGTATTTATAATTAAATCATTGTATGTGTCAATGCACTCGATCTCGTGTGTCATTGAGAAGCTGTTGTGGCAAAGGATTGCTGTACCTCCATAACCCTTCGCCCTGCAATATTTAGAAATCATCTTGTATTGTAATTCTTGTAAATTTAAAAAACCATTCTAAATCCTATGTCTTCATTTTTTTGAAAGTAACGAAAATTGTCAGAAGTTTTTAATCCTCAGATTCTTCTTCCAAGAAATTAATATAGAAAAAAGATTCAAGAAAAGCCCTTAAAGACACAATTCTCCATCGAATGACACAAAATGGGGATGCAGGTTATGTTTATTGTTAACTTCCTGAGAACGTCAAGTTCATAAATGGTCCAATTTTTGTGACTACGGAAGGCGATGATAACGGCAAACCCGCCGGCACGCGCAAAGGGTAACGGAATTCTAACGCCAAGTTTATAAATGGGCGTTTATTTTGGACACAAGTCTACAAAGAGTTGATTTTTACCGTTCTTATATTTACTAGAATAAAAAAGGCTAGGAATGTTTATGAAACCTGCTAAGAATTTGAAAAAACAAAATCAGCAGTTTATTTTGAACCTCTAGAGGTATTAGTTTGCGGCCCGGTTTATTCATCTGCAGATAAACTTGCTGGTAACTATTTCCAAGATAAATTAACCGTTGTATAGTTCTATTGGTCAGGGAATAACTGGCCGACCAATGGGATTACAGATTGCGTTTTTATCCTTCAGTTTACCAGAAGGTGAATAAACCGGCCCTGCGATAAGCAGATTTGAATAGCATGAAGATTAACCAAAAATGTTCTCAGCAGGTTGTAATAATAATGAACCAACCACCTTGAAAGTGATGTGTTGTTCTCTAAGATTTTGTAGCCATGCTGATTCACGACAATCACGACAAACCTCATGATCATGATTTACCCAAGTCGAATATCATTAGCCAGGTTAATAATAACAAAATATTGATACCAAAATCATTCCAAGTACCATAATTTTGTTAATATTATCTATATTGTATTATTTTTGCATTTAATTTTTATCGCTTTTCTTATTGGCTGCATAAATACAGGAAGATTATAATGTGATAAAAATGTACATGGCGTCTCGAATATCATCTCCTGTCTGTGTTGAGGACTAAATTTGCGGAGAAATTGTGTATGGATCTGATTCCTAAAGTAACTGAGGATTGATGAGCTACAGAACTTGGAACGGTCTTGAAAGCTGGGAAATAATTTAAAAAAAGGTCACATTCGTTGGTAAAAATACTTTAGTAATAATAAATGTTTTGGTTTTCCAACCTTAAATTTTATGCGAAAAACTATAGCTGTATAGGTTTATCTAACTGAGGTATTAACACTGTTAGTGCTCAGGTACATCAATAGAATACTTTCACTGACTCATACTTGAGGTCGCTTGGAACCAATATGACCATATTTACCCCAATGCAAGTTGGATATTACTGCGAAATGGTTGAGTTGTTACACATGAATATAATTTTTTATGGAACCAAATACCCTGGACCGCCAGGCCTTGGCAAGGAGGTATCTGCAGCACCGTTTATGATAAAAAAAAATTAACCGTATGAAGATGACATTGAAGAGACAACAGAAATATCCGAGATTGTAGTAATAAACCCAAATAAACAGATACTTATAAGAGAAATATTCAAATGATGCAAAAGTTGCACTGCCATGTTTGAAATGGGGGCACATTTGGAAATGCATCTAATGACACATTTGTATACGCGTCCTTCCGAATGTGACACTTGCAAAGCAAAATTGAAAACAAAAGGCAATTCGAAGGGTCAGATATTGAAAACTTTATGAGAGGAATTTTCAATGAAACATACGGAACCCCAAATTCAAATGCAAAGAATATTTGAAAAATACTCGTTGATGGACATTGGGATGAACGAGCTTTTAAATGTGTTTTTTTTGTGATGTGAAAATAGCAGTTTGAAATGAGATTTATTTTTATTTATTTATAGCGGCCTGCGAAATGGTCTCGCCGCTCTGCTACGATTGGAACGCGGATTAGTATTTTCCCTGAATCTGACAATGATTAGGGAGAACTGATTGACAAACCTCATATAATGGATGTCGAAGCCGGACACTTATAAGAGGAATATTCAAATGATGCAAAAGGTGCAATGCCGTGTTTGAAACAGAGACATATTTGAAAATTCATTCAATAACACAACACATCCTTTAGAAGGTGACACTTGCAAAGCAAAATTTAAAACAAAAGGCAGTCCGAAATTGAAACACTAGGAATTTTCAATGCATCCTATGCAACGCGAAATTCATATCCCAAGCATATTTGTCAAGACAACGATCATCCTGAAGTGTCAGGCCTTTGGCAAGAAATTACCTGCAGAGGACCGTTAGAGGATGACATCTCAAAAACTGCAAAACTTGTCATACAGGTTCCAAAGGACTCAAACTATAAGTCAGTTAAAACTCTATTGATGTACCAAACATCCTATATAATTATTGGCCTTTAACGTTCTACGTCTTCCCATTTTCTTGATCTTCAACCATATCTATCAATTGAGGCATTTTCCTCCAAGCCTCTGTCTCTCATTTCTTCGTCTACTTCTCTTATTTAGCATCTTGGACTACCGCGCTTTTCCCCCCTCCACTGGCTACCACCCAATGATTGGTTTGGGTATTTGACCTGTGAACTATTATGTAATAATTATGCTTTTGACGATGTTGCTGTACTTCTAGTTTTATTTATTTTGTTGATATTTTTATCCATACTCTATTTAGTAGTCATATTTGCCTTCCATCCTTGTATACTCCGATATCATCGGTGTCTACCCAGATACAATGAAAGGAGAACAAAAAAGCCTATCTCACAATTCCAAAAAGGTATATTTTTAACTAACCAACTACCATGGGTCAAAAATATTACACCCTATCTTCAGGTCCACAAAAGGCTACAAAGAACATATAAATATTTTTTAAAAAAATCCAAGTGTTTCAATATATGATTCTACATCGTTCAACATGTTTTTTCAAAAATATGATTGGGATTTGTATTTGATGTTGCATAGCTTTTATTGAAACCCTTTTTAATGAAAACCCTCACCAAGTGTTTTAATATAGGATTCTACAAATTGGCTATCTGTTTCAAATTTTGTTTGGCAACTGTCACATTCGAATGGGTGCCTATCTAAGTTTGTCACTGAATGAATTTTCGAATGTTCATCTGTTTCAAACATAGCATTGGAATCTGCGTTTTTATCGTAGCAGAGCGACGCGCTCGTTTTGCAGTTGGCTGTAAGTAGATAAAAATAAATGTCTTTTCCAACTGTTATGTTCAAATTTGACATCAAAAACTTCATATTTTTATTAAACATCTGAATGTCGTTCAACGTGTTTTCTCAAAAATGTGATTGGGATTTAAATTTGACGTTGCATAGCTTTTATTGAAACCCTTTTCATTGAAAACCCTCACCAAGTGTTTCAATATATGATTCTACAAATTGACTTTCTGTATCAAATTTTGTTCGGCAACTGTCACATTCGAATGGGTGTCTATCTAAATTTGTCATTCAATGAATTTTCAAATGTTCATCTGTTTCAAACATAGCATTGGAATCTGCGTTTTTATCGTAGCAGAGCCACGCGCCCGTTTTGCAGGTGGCTATAAATGAATAAAAATAAGATTAGATTTCTGTTCCAAATTTTGTTTGGTAAGTGTCACATTCGAATGGGTGCCTATCCAAATTTGTCATTGAATGAATTTTCGAATGATCATCTGTTTCAAACATGGCATTTGAATCTGCGTCTTTATCGTAGCAGAGCGACGCGCCCGCTTTGCAGGTGACTATAAATAAATAAAAATAAATGTCTTTCCAAACTGCTATGTTTAAATTTTACATCAAAAACTTTATATTTAAATTCAACATCTGAATGTCGTTCAACGTGTTTTTTCAAAAATATGATTGGGATTTGAATTTGACGTTGCATAGCTTTTATTGAAACCCTTTTTAATGAAAACCCTCACCAAGTGTTTCAATATATGATTCTACAAATTGGCTTTCTGTATCAAATTTTGTTCGGCAACTGTCACATTCGAATGGGTGTCTATCCAAATTTGTCAATAAAAGAATTTTTGAATGTTCATCTGTTTCAAACATAGCATTGAAATCTGCGTTTTTATCGTAGCAGAGCGACGCGCCCGTTTTGCAGGTGGCTATAAATAAATCAAAATAATTCTATTTTTACATTTGACATGACAGATGACACATTTAAATGCTTGTTTAACCCAATGTCCATCAATAAGTATTTTCCAAATATGATCGGGATTTGAATTGAAAATTCCTTTTATACCCAGTGTTTCAATATCGGACTGCCTTTTGTTTTAAATTTTGCTTTGCAAGTGTCACATTCTAAAGGACGCGTATCCAAATGTGTTATTAAATGAATTTTCAAATGTGTCCCTGTTCCAAACACGGCACTGCAACTTTTGCATCATTTGAATATTCCTCTTATAAGTATTCGGCTTCGACATCCATTATATGAGGTTTGTCAATGACTTCTCCCCAATCATTGTCAGATTCAGGGACAATACTAATCCGCGTTTTAATCGTAGCAGAACGGCGAGCCCCTTTCGCAGGCGGCTATAAATAAATAAAAATAAATGTCATTTCAAACTGCTATTTTCACATCACAAAAAAAAAAAACACATTTAAAAGCTCGTTCATCCGAATATTCATCAACAAGTATTTTCCAAATATTCTTTGCATTTGAATTTGGGATTCCGTAGGTATCATTGAAAATTCCTCTCATAAAGTTTTCAATATCTGACCCTTCGAATTGCCTTCTGTTTTCAATTTTGCTTTGCAAGTGTCACATTCGGAAGGACGCGTATCCAAATGTGTCATTAGATGCATTTCCAAATGTGCCCCCGTTTCAAGCATGGCAGTGCAACTTTTGCATCATTTGAATATTCCTCGTATAAGCATCTGTTTATTTGGGTTTGATAGTACAGTCTCTGGTATTTCTGTTTTCTCTTCTATTTCATCATGTGAGGGTTTATTCTTTATCATAAACGGCCAAGGCCTGGCGGTCCAGGGTGATAGTAGTCTTTACTCTCGTCGCTCTCATCTATTAGTTTTGCAATAGCTTCAGTATCCGATTTATCGTGTGTTTCAATGATTTCTCCCTCAACATCGTCACATTCAGGGGCAATACTAATCTGCGCTTTTATGATAGCGAAGCGGCGTACCCCTTCGAATGCGTCAATTTTTTCTTCAACAAAGATTTGCGGGTTCTATAATTGGTTCTTAATTTAGGCAAAAAGAATTGGAAACGTAATTTTATTCATAGAACCACTTTGTCCTTGTAAGGCGCGGTTTATTCATCTTCCGATAAACTTGTTGGTAACAATCTGCAAGATAAATTTAGCGTTCTATAAATCTATTGGTCGGCGGATCACTGGCCGACCAATGGGATTACAGATTGCATACCTGACAGTTTATCAGAAGGCGAATAGGCCGGCCCTAAATATAGTTAATTTATTTGTAGGACGACAGATAGCCAAATACTGGCCTTCCAGCAACTAAAACTTTTTTTGGCCTTATCATTCTCCATAATCCTCCTGTATTTATTTAACCAAGGTTATGTATAGCCTTTTATAAACGAAAGTCGCAATAATGTGACAATATAAATATAAATTAGATTTATTATAAGTTAGATCATGGATGTTCCATTACTCATTACTAAGGCCTTCTTATTGAACGGTGTGTATTTTTATAATGTCTAAGACAAGCGTTGTATTTAAACATGCTTAACATTGAATTATCAAGAGTTTTATATTGTTAAGTAAGCAATTTTTCCCTTCACTCTAGTGCTCTTATTCAGATCTATTGTACAGAGCATTTTCATGGTCACTAGTACACTCAGTTCTTATATCTATTTTAGCTAATATGGCCAGTGTTATAATAAGTTTTATACTAAAGTTACTTGTATAATCTGCTTTTTTAAATTAATTTTAAAACAAATTTATATGGCACTATATAATTTTTAAAGGTGCTTTTTATGTGGTGGTATTTTTATTTGTTTTGTACTTGTATATACATTGCTTTAGGTATAACATTTAATCAACAAGTGTATATAATATTCTTTTTAATATTTTTTTTTATAAATTTTTGGTTTCAATTTTGCTTCGTAAATCCATATAGCTGCATTTACATTTTACAATTTAAGTCTTAAACTTTGTTGTATCAACAGAGATTTTTTTATTTATTTTTTTCATTTTGAAGCCTGGCAACAGTAAAAAATCTTCTACATTTGATTTCTACAAGTTGTACATTGTGAAACAAATTAAATATTAGTATTATGCGAATAGGTTTTAGGAAAAAAATAGTTTGTAAGATTTACTGGTAGCAGCGTACTAGTCAAAACTAACATTACTTTTGTCTATTACTGTGATAATAGACAGTGGGTTACATCCGGTGAAACATAATATCTTAAGTTTAGACATTCCTATCTTTTTGGTATTGTAGTTGTTATAAATAATTTTGGAAATTATGAATTGATAACCACTTTTATTATGATTGTTTTCGTGCTATAAACCTGTTTTGTGATATAAAATTGAAATCAATTTTTTTTTTCAAATCTTTGGCTTAAGATAAAATTTATTCATAATTCAGAAACATAGGTTCCAAATATACTTTTTTTGGTGGTGTGTCATCTCAGGTGGTGTTAATGGTAATAACTCATCCTCATTTTCAATAAGATCCATTTCGGAAAGTTACTTGACAATTTTTTAAAATTGACAATGAGATCTAAGTAAACACAAAAAATTCATCAAACGTCATCACAGCAATTATAATTAAATCTAAAAAAGTGGACCATGCGTCAAATTGGAACAAATTTGGAGGAAAAATTATGTGATTCACACGGCATAAAATCAGATTTAATGCGTTGGCTGGTTTCCTAGCGTCAGAGTCGTCTACGCCTCGGCTGTAAAACACCAGCCGCGGCATTAAGACTTGTGCTTTTCTGCCTAGTAAAACAAATAACTATATTTGCTTACAAACTAAATATTATTTTTACCAAAAAAAAAAAAAAACTACTTGACAGAATCTGATATGTATTAGGGTTACAATTTGAAATAAAGGAGCCAGCCATATTTGCCATAATAAGGTTCGTTCGTTCTTTCGCCCTTTCGAACCAATAATGACACTGCAGCCTTGGAAGCTTTTGTATCTCATTGTATGGACTCCACTCCTTCCCATTCAAACTTCTGGACTAGATGATGCGGGTGATCTACCGACCGGTACTACTGCGGGCACCCATCCGATCTCCATTTCGACATCACGTTGCTTGGCCTGAGCAGAGCGGCTTGCGTCCTTCATCGAGAAGTACCAACGTGCCGGTGCCATAATAAGGTATCTACGAACTTGAAAAATAAATATATTTAACATAACATTATTTGAGACTATGACTGTGTAGAATAAAACATTTTATTTGAAGAAAAAATCTTTTAATGAACATTCTGTATAAATAAACACTCAACTTTATATCGGCGTTGTCAAGTCTAATTTAAAGTATGTTAATCAAGGTTTTTTATATGAATTTGTTTGAAAATTATCTAATTTTTTTGAAATGAAAATCCTTAACTAGTATGTCCCATCCAGCAAAGACTAACTTGTTCATTTTTGTAAAATTTGCTATCAAATAAGATAAAACTCCTACTCTGCTGATGGGCTACCTAGAAAATAGTATTTAGGATAACTCAGTTGAAACTGCACAGCAATGTTTTTCAAATATGACCATATTCTGAATCCTCTTACCAGAGCAAAATAGAATATGATAATAAATAAATAACTGGGCTTGAGTGAATATCTTTGACCTGATAGAAGTATGGAGATTTGAATAAAAATATAGTTATCCTGGACATTTTTCTTGTAATTTTGCAACTAATCCATACCCAACTCGCGAGTGGAAACTACTTTTTCAACGCATTCCCTGAAGTTCGTCGATTTTAATCTGATACTCGAAAGGAATGTGAGCTGGTGGCACCCTACATTAGAACGCCAATGGTCGCCTGACGTCACACCTGTTTTTGCCATATACTTCACCCCCTCGTTCCTCATAGGGAAAGTGTCAGATAAAAATCGACGAACAATACACTTTTTTAAATGTTTGCATTTATTAAGACAACCATAATCATAGAAAAATTCAGATTTTTCTTCATTTTGATTTTTGTAGTGAATATTAATTTCTTTTGGTGAAACCCCTTGAGTGAAGATAGGTACTTACTTACTTTTGTACCTGTTGAAAAATTGATATATTTTGGTATTTTTTTTAAACTCACTGTGTGCACAACTGACGTTTTTAAAACAATTTTTTAACTGACTGTTTATTAGATAAAAATTAAGGCGTATTTCGCCTAAAAATTAACTATTCTTAGAGCGGATTGATTTCGATGTTGGATAACTATGCACTAATAAATTTGCAGAAATCACTAGACGTCCAAATTTCACTGATATTTATCAGTAATTTTATTGAACATTTAAGTTCATGTTAATCATATGTCTGTTGAAATTCGAAGTTTAGCTTTCAATTTATTATTTTGATTTAAATTAGAACATAAAATGTTTCAACAGAGTGACAGATTAATACCTATACCATATTCTGTGTTAAAGATTCTGGCCAAAAACTTAACATTACCATCAGAATACCATTTTTGATTTTTTAAGGAGACGTTAATCTAAGATAAGAATGTAAGACCGAGGTTCCCCTAAAATAAACCATTTAGGTTTCACGGCCTATCAAAGTTGCAAAAAAGTCAATTTTCATCTGTCAATATTTCCAAAACAGTTGAACTTAGGTAGGTAATAAAATTTAGTACCAAAATGTATGGAATTAAAAACCCTCCAAAATGATGTATCACATGACCCCCCTTCCCAGTTATGATTTTCTAGGGGGTGGCTCTGGGGGTTGAATTTTGCATAAAAACTCATCCCCCTTCAAATTATAGTTGACGTGTTTCAGGGAATTTTTCGAAAATTTTTCAACTCCGAGATAGGGGTGGTAAGTTGTGAAATGAACACCCTGTATATTTTGAGCCACAAATAACATTTTCCTGATTAAATATATATATATACATACATACAGTGTGTCCCGCTTAAGGACTGACCACCCTTCTAAAATTTTTATTTTTTACTCGATTCAATTTTTTTTTGGTCCTATATCCACTCAAATTTGGCACATAATTTTATTTCTGCTGCTGTACTGGTGTACAGGTGTCCACATTTATAGGCTCAAATATCAATATATTAGGGATTTGAAAAAAAAAAAAAAATAGGATAACAAATTCTTATTTAGAATGGTCCAAAACCCAAATGTACTAATTTTTATTTCAATACGATTCAGGGTGATCACAACAAATTTTCAAAATTGAAGGGACCAAACCGCGAAAATGTCATATTTTGAGGCCTTGAGAACAACAAAACTTAATATAACATAGTTTTAGAATATCCTTAACCAAAACTCGTAGTAAGTTTGTCTCAAAATATGACATTTTTGTGGTTTGATTCATTACATTTTGAAAATTCGTTGTGATCACCCTGTATCGTATTGAAACAAAAATTTGTACATTTGGGTTTCAGACCATTCTAAACAATAATTTGCTATCAGATTTTTCCTAAAAAATATCCCTAATAGTACTTATTGAAATTTGAGCCCATAAATGTGGACACCCTGTACACCAGTACAGCCGCAGAAATGGAATTATGAGCCTAATAAGTGCCAAATTTGAGTAGACAAGAGACAGAAAATAAATAAATTGAATCGGTTAAAAAATAAAAAATTTAAATGGTGGTCAGTCCTTAAGCAAGACACACTGTATATACAATAAAAAATGGTCCTTTGAATCCTTCGTCATCTACGCAAGTTTGTTAAAAAGCTTCAGAAATCTAGTATAGAGAGGAATTTATAATAAATATGTGTTATTGGATACATGGGGCCATTTCCTCTTGTTCTGTTAAAGATACTTTATGCTAGTCAATCTGTTAGACTATAGGATTTTAAAAATAATGTGTATGATAAGCCTATTTTAGGATACAAACTATTCACCTATAGTAATCGAGTAACATAATAGGATTTTTTTATTATACGTATGTAGACATTTGGACCAATATTTTAGTTGAATACAATTTGTACTCATTCTTTTAGCCTTGAGAAGATGGCAGACAAGATTTTTCGTACCATCACTACTCTGGTGATGATACACCTCATTTTTAAACATCACAATGGATTTCTGGTCGATATACCTGATTGGCTGAGAAAACTTTTAGTTTGATGTGTAAGCTTTCAAGTTTTAATTTTAAAGTACTTTTCTCTCGGCAAAGCGTTTTGTTCTTTAAAATTAGCGCGACTTTGAGTTTAGTTTTCTTATTTCATTATCAAAATTTTAAGAATGTCAGAATTAAAACTATTAGGCTGTAAATTTATGGATGTGGCTGGCATGATTATATATTTTTCTTTGAAAAGTGATTTTTTATGTATATGTATATGTAGGAAGTTTTTGTATATATAATTCTATATGTGTGTAATCGTAAAACTTCAATGTATGTATTTAAAATACAAGAAATAAATATATCTTCCGGATTTTTTTTTGTATTTTCCTAATCCTCCTAGATTACAAATCCAATCTGATGATAATGCGTGTATTTATGAATCTCCTGGATGAGCAGTTGGATGTTCCTGCTTTGTCTATAAATTTTTCTTGGTTCCTTGGACAGCAATAGTGCTTCCCCTTCACAAGGGCGGCGAGATGACTTCACTGAAATTTTTGCCCAATATTTTCAATATTGACCCTTTCAAAAATTATGGAGAAGCTTGTGAAATCTAGTTCACATTCTCGAAACTAGACAGTCTCTAATCACAGTATGGATTTCTATTCTAAGTCTGAGGGTTACGAACCATGCTGTCCTCAGTCTGTTATATAATATTTACAAACACAAAGTAGGCGACCAACGGCAGCGGCATGTGTGATCTTTTCAAAACCTTTGACCGAGTGGATCGCAAAATATTGCAGTCATAGGTCAAGCATTATAGCTTAAGAGGGATGGCATTGACATGTTTTTCATCGTATCTTGCAGATCGCTCTCAATCAGTCGTGTTGTACCTGAGGGGGTCCTATATGGTTCTACTATAGGTACTATATAAATTGTCTAAATTTCATAAAAATCCACAGTGAGATAGTGCAGTTTGCGGATGATACTATAATTATGTGGCACCATCAAGACACAGATAGGTCAGGAACTGAGCATGGTAATAGAATGGCGTGTGTCTCCAAAAAGTTAGGTCTGAACGCTTCAAAGACGAAGCTGATGAGTTCTAGATATAATTATGCTATGGGTGAGCTGGACCTTGGAAATGGAAGACAGGGGAATAATAGTAACGGGTACCTGCACTCTGAGATGCATGTAAAAGGTCTTCTAAAAACTGTCCTCTGAATGTTATGTTGTGCTAATAGCTAGACTGTTTGTGACAGATAACGGCTGATTCTGTTCATTTTGCTGTAGTCGAGTTTCATCTTTGATATGGTTCACCGTTTTGGAGCTTAACAGGGTCGGCGCAAGCGACTTTGGCGCCCTAGGCAAATGTACTGTCTGCCGCCCCCATTTAGTAAAAATAAAAATATGCATGACTATTTTTAAAAACATGTTTTATAGTTTTATTAATGATTGTAAATAATAAAACCTGACTTACAGAATATAGATTAGAACATCAACATAAAAAAATACATACACGCATGCCCGTCGGCGGAGGCGAAAAAATCCTGTTCTGATTCTGGTTTCACGCCCTAAACGTTAATTTTGTGCCAAAAATATTCATGAGGGTGAATCTGAAAGTGAGGTTTTTTTAACGGGATATATGTACAGGGTGGCCCGTTTAAGAGGGGCCTATACCTTATCTCGAAATCTACAAGGGCTGTGAAAAAAATGTAAATACAAAAGTTGTTTCTAATAAAATTATCTACAACTTTTTTGTATTGTTTTTGTTGTCACTTTACTATATACAGGGTGGACAAATTAAATTTCATTTTTTTAAATAGAACACCCTATATTTCAATACCTTTTTAAATAGACCTTTGAAAGACAAATTCAACGATATACTGGTCATGTGTCTGTGATAACCCGGTTCGAACTTATTAGCGATTATCTTCATGATTTGGGGTAATTTTCAACAGACATTATTACGTGACTCATAAACTTTTAAAACTTTTTTTTGCATGATATTTTCTATAAAATAATGCTCTTCTTTAGACTATATTCAAATTTGAAATATTTGCTTTAAAAACGCGGTGTTGCCACGTTTCGCAAAATGTTACGCTTTTCAATTTTTTTAAATGGGACCTCCTGTTAATTTTCGAGTTTTTGGATAGCCCTTTAAAAGACAAATTCAACGATATACTGGAAATGGGTCTGTGATGCACCGTTTCGGCCTGATTAGCAATTATCTTCAGTTCTAGCACAATGGGCAGTGTGAATAAAATTGTAGTATGAACTTAAACTACCTTTTTTGTAGCAAAAGCTAACATTTTTGTGAATAATAATAAGTCTTAGCTTAAACTTATAAGTTTATTCTGTTTGCTTTAAGTATGTTCTGTTTTTTCATAGTCAAAGCTAATTTAGATGTGAATAAAATACAGCATTTACTACAATTTTCAAGTAATAACTTCGAATTTTTCAAGCCAGCTAATGTGCAGCTTAAAAAATAAGTCTTGTGTAGAACTTCGCACGAACACGTTTAGAAATGGCTCAATTTATGAACATCAGACGTCGAAAATATTATTCTCAACGAACTGAGTGTCGGGATGAGGACTATCATAATTTATATCGATTTTCTAGAATTAATGTTGAGTGGTTAGCAGAACATTTCCTCGAAGACACTGGAGAAACAAGGGGAGGAGCATTAAATTCCAGACAAAAAATGCAGATATTTCTTCGATTTTTAAGCGATCCTGGATTCCAAATTGGAGTTGGAAAGGATGAAGGCGTTCATCGAACAACAGTGAGTAAAACTGTGAAATTTGTTTTGACTAAAATAATTCAAAAATCACATATTTGGTTACGTTTTCCTTTAAATAACATTGAAGAAGCACAACAAGAGTGGAGTGCTAAGTATCAGTTTCCTTGTGCATTTGGTGCTATAGATTGCACACATATAAGAATTCCGAAACCATCTGAGCATGGAGACGAATACTATAACAGAAAAGGTTACTTTAGCATAAATGTACAGGCAACATGTAATGCAAAAGAAGAATTCACTTCCATAGACGCTCAGTGGCCTGGGTCAGTACACGACAGTAGAATACTAAAGAATTCTGCACTTTATGTCCAAATGAATAATATCCGGCATAATAATATGGTGCTATTAGGTGATTCTGGTTATGGAATCAGTCGTTGGCTGATGACGCCATATAGAAATCCCGAAACTCGTGAAGAAATTGCGTTCAACACGCTCTTCACGAAAGAAAGAGTCATCATCGAAAGGTGCTTTGGTCAACTGAAGAGAAGGTTTCCAATTCTGCAATATATGGTTAGGGTAAAACTAGAGAGAGTTGCATCTGTTATTATTAGTTGTGCTATACTTCATAATATATCAAAGTATTTGAATGATCCACTTCCTGTCGAAGAAGAAGAAGATGTTATGAATGACGAAGAAGAAGAGGAATACAATTTGGAAAATGACGATGAAAATGTTAGGAGAAGGGGATTCCAACGGAGAGAAGAAATAAAAAATTTAATTTACCAACTAAACATTTAATTATATAAATTGTTATAATTATAAAATCAAAATTATGATATTCAAAAACTGTTGAAACAAATAAAAATATACAGGGGGTGTAACTTAAAAAATAAATTAGGTTTCATAATTTATAACATTGTATATATTTTATCTAAAGCTAAACTGTACGTTGAAGTTTCGGGATCTTGGCTTCCAGGCCCTTGGCTTCCAGGATCTTGGCTTTCGAGAACTTGGGTTCCGGATAGACTTGGACGTAGCTTGTCCAATAAAAGTTGTTCTCGCTCGATCTGCATGCGCGTGAGTTTTAATTGCTCAAGAAGGACCAATCTTTGTAGATCTGCGGTGCATAAGTTTGCAGTCTCATCTGTTTCTTTCCCTTCCAGCTTATTTTTTTTTGGTTTTGATGGTGTAATATTAGAGGAAGGAGGAGGTCTGACTAAAACGTGCCTTGTTTCCGCTGGTTTTTGCATTTCTATATTTTCCAATGGCTTCAAGCCCGTTGTCGCCGCTCCAGGAATTTTATGCAATGTTGGGTTTTTGTCATCTTTATCAATAATGTCCAGCAATTTTTTTTCCCAATCTTTCAAAATAATTTTTTTATTTCCAGTTGCTTTCATATCTGTTTTCTTCTTCAATTCGTTTTTCATATTTTGAATCTTTTTTTTCAGCTGTTTCATAGTAATACTTTTGCCATAAATTGTTTGATATGATTCCTGCATTTTAGTTAAGGAATTTTCCTTCTTTTTTCTTATTAATGGCAACTGCGATTTATCAAATAATACTTTGTGATTAGATAAAGCCTCTATAAAGCGCAAATTGCCACTTTGTTCTTCACCGACTTCGGAGTCAAGAGATTCACTGTCGGACTCGGAATTCATTTTCAACAATTTCACAAACGTGTGTCTGCTAATGGTTGTAGGTAATAACTGAATAAACTGAAAAATCTCTTGACAAAAATATTGAATACGGCCGCTTTTTACAAAGTTTTTTTGGAAGTATTTCAATAAAAAATAATTTATTCACTAAAAAAAAAAGAAAACAAATGGATAAGAAAACCAGTATGTGTTTACTATTGTTAGTTCAAACTTAAATTTTTTAGTATACACTTATAAGTATAAGCAAAATATTATTCACAAATTTTTCAGAATGTACTTAAACTTATAGCTGAATCTAATAAGATTGTACTTATGCTATAACTTAATTCTTTAAGTAAACACTTATTTTTTATTCACACTGCCCAATATTTCATCTGTCCAAGTCGCCCGGTGAATAACAAACATATGTCTATTTTCCTTCAACCATCGATTAACGTGGTTTATTAATGTATAGAAATTGTTCAATATTGCCACCATTAATGCATAAAAAGCACTATTTTAGCTAATCTACTACAAAATTAGACATTTTTTTCATTCAACAGGGATGACATGAGATATTGTGCTAGAACTGAAGATAAACGCCAATCAGGTCGAAACGGTGCATCACAGATCCATGTCTAGTATATCGTTAAATTTGTCTTTTAAAAGGCTATCTAAAAACTCGAAAATTTATAGGAGGTCCCATTTAAAAAAATTGAAAAGCGTAACATTTTGCGGAACGTGGCAACACCGCGTTTTTAAAGCAAATATTTCAAATTTGATATAGTCTAAAGAAGAGCATTATTTTATAGAAAATATCATGCAGAAAAAAGTTTAAAAAGTTTATGAGTAACGTAACAATGACTGTTGAAAATTACGCCAAATCCTGAAGATAGTTGCTAATAAGTTCGAAACGGTATATCACAGACACATGACCAGTATACCGTTGAATTTGTCTTTCAAAGAGCTATTTAAAAATGTATTAAAATATAGGGTGTT